AAATGTTAAATTTTTGCCGATATTCAAGAGTAAACAAACAACCTCACACGTCTAATACACGCCAGCTGGTGGGGTCTAATATGCATTCACAAATATGGTGATATTTATACAATTATTACAGTATTGCATAACAGTAAATCTTCTTTTTTTGGTGTGAATAAAAATTCATTGTAAATAAAAAATCAAAATGGAATTTATTTGTAAAGCCTCAAAACGTAACTAATGAACAGAGGAAATGTTAGTTTAGTTCCAGGAATACCTACAGTGTTTATTCTGGACCCTATTTTGAAATTGGAATATTTTGAACTTTGTGTTAAATTGGCCAAATTAACAATTTCCGATCACTTTAATTTGTAGTTGAAACAGTTGACTTGGAGATTTCTTGTGCTCAATCGATAGAATAGAAGTAATACGTACTAGTGAAATAGCTAAGAATTTGGTTGACTGGAATAATGTAATTGGCCTAAAATGGGAGTCAAATTCGGCAAAATCGCCGATTCGTAAATATCGCTGACATTTCAAAATTCGCGAGAGCATAATTTCATCAATTTTCCATCAAATTTCGTACTTTTTGTTTTATTACCTTCACAAAAAGATTCTCTACCATTTCATAGGAAAAAATAACAATTTTTTTTTTTTAAATTCTTGGACACTGGGGCACCACTTCAGATTTGGGCCTTGGACCCTGAAGGGGTTAAAATCAGATAAAAATAAGTTAGCACCTTGAAGTTAATCTGCAGTATGCATGATATTGTTCGTTAAAGTTTATGTAGCTTTTTAATGCCTGAATGACTAGCTGTTTATTATATACACTATAAAACTTTTAGGTTAATTTCAATAGTTTTGTTATTTGAATGCACAAATTTAAATGTGCTGATGTTAGAATGTTTATTATTATTTACTTTCATATTCATATATTTTATTTGGACATTGCAATCATAATTTTTTTTTTTTTTGTCAAATGATGGTCTCAGTAATGCTCTTGCTTGTCAGGTATGCTGAAAGTTATTAACTGATCATAATTATTATAAGTATGGTACTTGAATTCCGTGACTATTGTGTAGGAATATGTTTAATATTTCATGAGAATTAGTTTTTTCTTTGCATACTTTATCAAGTCATTTATTTTGAACGGACAAACCTATTTTGTGTATGCAATCTTGAAAGGCATTTTTAAATTTAATTGCTAAAATAGTACCATGAAAATATTGTGGGGAAGCCTAGAATATTGAGTTACTGAAATGTGACTATTCAAATAATCATTCTTATTTTTAATCATGCACAGATCTGTATCGCTAGGTTTCCAGGCGATAATGGTAGGAGATTCATCAATTGTGGTTTGTGGTGGTCAGGAAAGCATGAGTCAGGCTCCTCATGCTCTGCACCTACGTTCACCAGTTAAGATGGGATCTGCAACGATGGTAGATACAATGATGGTAGATGGATTAACGGATGCATTCCATGGTTGCCACATGGGAGTAACAGGTAGGGACAAAAAATTGCACAGTAATTGCATTTTAGTCCCCCCCTAATTAATTGGCATAAACTTTGTGCAGTACAGCATACAGCCTCTCCTCATTTAACGACGGGGTTCTGTTCCTAAGAGTAGGTCGGTAAGCGAATTGGTCATTAAACAAGAAGCATACTATACTGGTAGTGGGTTTGTGTCAACCATTTATAGATATTTTTTTTAATGTCACTTTTGCTCCATTTATAACATTTCTATTACATTTTTAAATGTTTATACAGAAATGTACTGTATACTGTAATAAGCAGAATAGAGGAAATCAGATCTAATATACATTACTTAGGTTTGAATACTGGTTGGAGAACTGGTCGTAAGTCCGAGTGGTAGGTAAATGAGTACTTTGCTAATGAGGAGAGGCTGTACTCAAATCCAAGTACACGTAGATTATTGGACTAGCATCATTGCTATAGTTACAGTACAGTGGAACCTCGGTTTTCATGATTAATCCGTTCAAAAAAAAGTCTGACAAAAAAAACAAATTGTATGAAAACTAAAGCAATATTTCCCATAAGAAATAATGTAAATGCAATTACTCCATTCCAGACACCCAAAAATATTTAAAAAAAAATACATTTTATAGAGAATATAGTTTTACACAAGCTAGAGCATACGAAAACCGAGGTTTGACTGTACTGCCCAATTTCCCGCTTGATTAAATAAATTTCCAAAGCTTTTTTTTTTATTAAATGGGATAAGATCTGAATTGTTTTTCCTGAAAACTCTCATACATAATTAAAAGTAGGAAATTACACTCTTGATCTTTAGAGGCACAATTTTTTTTTTAATTAAATCTTTTCATGCATTATTAGCTGTTATTCTGTGTATAACACCATGCACGATTCTGATTATCCATATCCTTTGCTCTAAAAATAAATTCATGTCCATACTTAAGGGTTGGAACAATGACTCCATCCTGTAGCTCTCTGCCTTCATCCCTTCCTATCATGTTCTTTGCCAGGGGCTTTATTTCACCAGATAATTTCCGTCTTTGTCTTAATTCTCGTCTTTGATCATCATGTCGCCCATCACATGTACAGGATGTAGAGTTGTCAGATTTCTTCACTTCTTTCTTCTCACTCCCCCAATTTCATACTCGTGTCTCTTTTTACGACAATAACCATTAATTTTATAGGTAGTAGGTTGGTAGACAGCAACCACCCAGGGAGGTACTACCGTCCTGCCAAGTGAGTGTAAAACGAAAGCCTGTAATTGTTTTACATGATGGTAGGATTGCTGGTGTCTTTTGTCTGTCTCATAAATATGCAAGATTACAGGTACGTCTTGCTACTTCTACTTACAATTAGGTCACACTACACATACATGTACACGTTTATTTATACACACTCATCTGAGTTTTCTTTGATTTTATCTTAATAGTTCTTGGTCTTATTACTTTTCCTCTTATATCCATGGGGAAGTGGAATAAGAATCTTTCCTCCGTAAGCCATGCGTGTTGTAAAAGTCAACTAAAATGCCGGGAACAATGGGCTAGTAACCCCTTTTCCCTGTAAAGATTACTAAAAAGAATAAGAAGAAGAAAATTGTCAAAGTGGGAAGTCTGAATGTGCGTGGATGTTGTGCAAATGATAAGAAAGAGATGATTGTGGATGTTATGAATGAGAAGAAACTGGATGTCCTGGCTTTAAGTGAAACAAAGCTGAAGGGGGTGGGAGAGTTTCAATGGAGGAATAAATGGGATTAGGTCAGGGGTTTCAAATAGAGTTAGAGCTAAAGAAGGAGTAGCAATAATGTTGAAGGATAAGCTATGGCAGGAAAAGAGGGACTACAAATGTATATAATTCAAGGATTATGTGGAGTAAAGTAAAGATTGGATGTGAAAAGTGGGCTATAGTAAGCGTGTATGCACCTGGAGAAGAGAGAAGTGTAGAGGAGAGAGAGAGATTCTGGGAAATGTTGAGTGAATGCGTGGGGAGTTTTGAATCAAGTGTGAGAGTAATGGTGGTTGGGGATTTCAATGCTAAAGTGGGTAAAATGTTATGGAGGGAGTAGTAGGTAATTTGGGGTGCCAGGGGTAAATGTAAATAGGGAGCCTTTAATTGAGCTATGTGTAGAAAGAAATTTGGTAATAAGTAATACATATTTTATGAAAAGAGGATAAATAAATATACAAGTATGATGTAGCACGTAATGAAAGTAGTTTGTTAGATTATGTATTGGTGGATAAAAGGTTGATGGGTAGGCTCCAGGATGTACATGTTTATAGAGGGGCAACTGATATATCGGATCATTATTTAGTTGTAGCTACAGTTAGAGTAAGAGGTAGATGGGAAAAGAGGAAGGTGGAAACAACAAGTAAGAGGGAGTGAAAGTGTATAAACTAAGGGAGGAAGAAGTTCGGGCGAGATATAAGCGACTATTGGCAGAAAGGTGGGCTAGTGCAAAGATGAGTAGTGGGGGGGTGAAAAAGGGTTGGAATAGTTTTAAAAATGCAGTATTAGAATGTGGGGCAGAAGTTTGTGGTTATAGGAGGGTAGGGGCAGGAGGAAAGAGGAGTGATTGGTGGAATGATGAAGTAAAGGTGTGATAAAAGAGAAAAAGGTAGCTTACGAGAGGTTTTTTACAAAGCAAAGTGTTATAAGAAGAGCAGAGTATATGGAGAGTAAAAGAAAGGTGAAGAGAGTGGTGAGAGAGTGCAAAAGGAGAGCAGATGAAAGAGTGGGAGAGGCACTGTCAAGAAATTTTAATGAAAATAAGAAAAAATTTTGGAGTGAGTTAAACAAGTTAAGAAAGCCTAGGGAAAGTATGGATTTGTCAGTTACAAACAGAGTAGGGAGTTAGTAGATGGGGAGAGGGAGGTATTAGGTAGATGGCGAGAATATTTTGAGGAACTTTTAAATGTTAAGGAAGAAAGGGAGGCGGTAATTTCATGCATTGGCCAGGGAGGTATACCATCTTTAGGAGTGAAGAAGAGCGGAATGTAAGTGTGGTGGAGGTACGGAGGCATTACGTAGAATGAAAGGGGTAAAGCACTGGAACTGATGGGATCATGACAGAAATGTTAAAAGCAGGGGGGATATAGTGTTGGAGTGGTTGGTACTTTTGTTTAATAAATGTAATGAAAGAGGGGAAGGTACCTAGGGATTGGCGAGAGCATGTATAGTCCCTTTATATAAAGGGAAAGGGGACAAAAGAGATTGTAAAAATTATGAGGAATAAGTTTACTGAGTATACCAGAAAAGTATACGGTAGGGTTATAATTGAAAGAATTAGAGGTAAGACAGAATGTAGAATTGCGGACGAGCAAGAGGCTTCAGAGTGGGTAGGGATGTGTAGATCAAGTGTTTACATTGAAGCATATATGTGAACAGTATTTAGATAAAGGTAGGGAAGTTTTTATTGCATTTATGGATTTAGAAAAGGCATATGATAGAGTGGATAGAGGACAATGTGGCAGATGTTGCAAGTATATGGAATAGGTGGTAAGTTACTAAATGCTGTAAAGAGCTTTTATGAGGATAGTGAGGCTCAGGTTAGGGTGTGTAGAAGAGAGGGAGAATACTTCCCAGTAAAAGTAGGTCTTAGACAGGGATGTGTAATGTCACCATGGTTGTTTAATATATTTATAGATGGGGTTGTAAAAGAAGTAAATGCTAGGGTGTTCGGGAGAGGGGTGGGATTAAATTATGGGGAATCAAATTCAAAATGGGAATTGACACAGTTACTTTTTGCTGATGATACTGTGCTTATGGGAGATTCTAAAGAAAAATTACAAAGGTTAGTGGATGAGTTTGAGAATGTGTGTAAAGGTAGAAAGTTGAAAGTGAACATAGAAAAGAGTAAGGTGATGAGGGTATCAAATGATTTAGATAAAGAAAAATTGGATATCAAATTGGGGAGGAGGAGTATGGAAGAAGTGAATGTTTTCAGATACTTGGGAGTTGACGTGTCGGCGGATGGATTTATGAAGGATGAGGTTAATCATAGAATTGATGGGGAAAAAAGGTGAGTGGTGCGTTGAGGTATATGTGGAGTCAAAAAACGTTATCTATGGAGGCAAAGAAGGGAATGTATGAAAGTATAGTAGTACCAACACTCTTATATGGATGTGAAGCTTGGGTGGTAAATGCAGCAGCGAGGAGACGGTTGGAGGCAGTGGAGATGTCCTGTCTAAGGGCAATGTGTGGTGTAAATATTATGCAGAAAATTCGGAGTGTGGAAATTAGGAGAAGGTGTGGAGTTAATAAAGCATTAGTCAGAGGGCAGAAGAGGGGTTGTTGAGGTGGTTTGGTCATTTAGAGAGAATGGATCAAAGTAGAATGACATGGAAAGCATATAAATCTATAGGGAAGGAAAGAGGGGTAGGGGTCGTCCTCGAAAGGGTTGGAAAGAGGGGGTAAAGGAGGTTTTGGGGGTGAGGGGCTTGGACTTCCAGCAAGCGTGCATGAGCGTGTTAGATAGGAGTGAATGGAGACGAATGATACTTGGGACCTGACGATCTGTTGGAGTGTGAGCAGGGTAATATTTAGTGAAGGGATTCAGGGAAACCGGTTATTTTCATATAGTCGGACTTGAGTCCTGGAAATGGGAAGTACAATGCCTGCCTTTTAAAGGAGGGGTTTGGGATATTGGCAGTTTGGAGGGATATGTTGTGTATCTCTATACGTATATGCTTCTAAACTGTTGTATTCTGAGCACCTCTGCAAAAGCAGTGGTAATGTGTGAGTGTGGTGAAAGTGTTGAATGATGATGAAAGTATTTTCTTTTTGGGGATTTTCTTTCTTTTTTTTTTGGGTCACCCTGCCTCGGTGGGAGACGGCCGACTTGTTGAAAAAAAAAAAAAAAAAAAAAAAAAAACCATTAATTTGCTTTTTTCTCATGGCATTGATTGTTGAAATACCAATACATGTATTTGCTTCTTTGGTAAATGTAAAACACTTATAAATGCACATTTTCTTAGGAAGGGCATGTTGTTGACTATTTAAATAAGTTTGTCTTGGTTAGATGTTTTCAATACCTAATTTAGACAGTTGAAAAAGGTGATTCTGAACATGAAAGATTATTAAGACCTACCTTACCTTGTATAGTAATCACTATTATATTTCAATTTTAATTTGCAGCTGAGAATGTAGCAAAGGCTTGGAATTTAACACGATTGCAGCAAGATACTTTTGCCCTTAAATCTCAAGAAAAAGCAGAAGCTGCTCAACAAGCAGGTTACTTTGACCAGGAGATTGTAAAAGTTTTGGTTCCGGGCCGGAAAGGTGCAACAGAAGTGAAAATGGATGAATATCCACGGCAAGGCTCCACCATGGATGGGTTAGCTAGATTGAAACCTTGCTTTGTTACTGTAAGTTATCATTTTTTCTTGTGCAATTTTTAAATTTTATATTTTTAAATGTCAAATACTCTCATATCAATAATTGATTACCAGAGATATTTTACATTAATCATATTGAATAATTAGCTTAGGTTTAAAGCATTTGGCTCATAATTTAAAAGGAATTGGAGACATCCTTCCCTTCTTTGGATCAAACCTGATTGCTTCACATTACCCAGGAGCTGTAGGGCCCATTCAGGGTTAGTGTTTCTCCATACAAATAATACTCCATAGGGAAGTAGAGATGAATACCCTTTCCCTGTAAGCCATGCATGTCATAAGAGGCGACTTCAGTGCTGGGAGCAAAGGGATAGTAACACCTTTTTTATAAATTACTAAATGTTAAAAGAAGAAACACTACTGTTTCTTCTTTTTTGGGTCACCCTGCCTTAGTGGAAGATGGCCCATGTATTAAAATAATAATAATGATAATCAGCTCCCAACTGAAGGGACTTGGGTTCGATTCCCAGGTGGTGCGAGATACATGGGCAAATCTTATTTCAAATCTGCCACTTAACCTTGCAGCAAATATATACTAGGTGTTAACTTACAGGGGTTGCATCTTGGGAGTAGTAGCACTGTATGTCATAGGGCTGGACTTTGAAATGAGCTAAAGTAAGATAATTGCTATTAGTTTGTTAAGTAAACTATAAAAAATATATTTTAAAATCAAAGGAAAATTTCTATTTCTTTTACTCGGCATATGAAAAGCTATACTGGATTAAATTGCCTCATTCCTTTATCTTTAAATGACACTCTCATATGAAATGATGACTTGTGATAATTATTTTTATTTTTTTAAACATACTGGCAGTCTCCCACTGAGGTAGGGTAAAGCAAAATGGAAGGAAGACCTTCAATACTCCCTGTCACTGTCTTGCCAGAGGCATGCTGACATTACGGTTTAGGTGCCTCTTTAGACTGTAATATCCCTACCCCTCCTTCAGAGTGCAGGAATTACATTTCTCATCCCAGGATACTAGTCTGGCTAACTGGTTTCCCTGAATCCTTCAATAAATGGTACTTTGCTTACATTCCAACAATATGTGAAGTCAAAAACCACTTGCCTCCACTTACTCCTATTTAACATGCATGTACTCACTTGTTCGATGTCCACACTCCTTACACACAAAACCAGTAATGTGTGTTGATACTTGGAGTTTTAAATGTATTGATTTGAATAATTAGAGGTACTCTTTTCCTTCTTAGATACAACCTGATTTCCTCATTTTTCCAAGTGCTGTGTAAACCATACAGTGATAATTAATGGTGAAAGTTTCTTTTTTGGGTTACCCTACCTCTGTGACAGAAATATTATTATTATTACTATTATTATTATTATTATTATTTTTATTTTTATTATTACTACTACTATAGACAAACTGTCTCGGTTTACGTAAAATCATTAAATGTAAATTTTGAATTGTTAATATACATTGAGTATTAGCCTCTGCTCTCTCTATTGATTTACATGAACATTCATAAAGTCGCATTATTATTAATCTGCATAATATGCAGTAATATTGGATGAAGTTACTTTTCGTGGGACATATATACTTGGAGAATGTGTGACTGGTACTTTCAGCTGTTCTCAGCAGTTTATAAATAGAGTGGACCCCTGCTTAACGATCACCTCCTAATGTGACCAATTATGTAAGTGTATTTATGTAAGTGCGTTTGTACGTGTATGTTTGGGGGTCTGAAATGGACTAATCTACTTCACAATATTCCTTATGGGAACAAATTCGGTCAGTACTGGCACCTGAACATACTTCTGGAATGAAAAAATATCGTTAATCGGGGGTCCACTGTACTGTAAACTAAATATGCTTTTTCAGATTTTGCCATAGATTTATCATTTACTGGTATTTATTTCACAGGATGGAACTGGCACAGTAACAGCAGGAAACTCATCAGGTATCAATGATGGTGCTGCAGCATTGGTGTTAATGAGCGAGAAGGAAGCTAAGAGTAGAGATATCAAGCTTTTGGCTTCTGTTGTAGCCTGGGCTCAGGCTGGAGTCGATCCAACCATTATGGGTACTGGACCAATTCCAGCTATTAAAGCAGCAGTGAGTATGCTAATTTGGTTTACCATGGTATAGTTTCTGTAGTAATGACATCAGTTTTTTGGACTTCGTATTGGTAGATAAAAGGTTAATGGGTAGACTTCTGGACGAGTATGTTATAAGAGAAGCAGCAGATAAATTAGATCATTATTTAAGAGACTTGAAAGGTAGGTGGGGTACAAGAAGAACAGCATGAGAGTAAGTGAGAAGTGAAAGTTTATAAATTTGAGGAGGTAGTTAAGTTAGGGTAAGATATAAACAACTGTTGGGAGAAAGATGAGTTAGTGAGGGTATAGGAAATGAAGCTGAAGAGGTATGAAGTAGATTTAAGAATGCAGTGTTAAAGTGTGCAGCAGAAGTTTGTGAATATAGGAGGGTGGGTGCAGGAGGGAAGACGAGCAAGTGATGGAATGATGAGGTAGAGAGGGGCAGGGAAGAAAATGTTTGCATACAAGAAGAGGAGAGTTATTAGGTAAGGAGGTGGAGGTATTAGGAAGATGGAGAGGATGTTTTGAAGAGCTGTTTAATTTAGAAAAGAGGGAGGCAGGGACTTCGTGCATTGGCCAGGGAGGTATTACATCTTTTAGGAGTTATGAAGAACCAGATGTAGGTAGAAAAGGTGTGTGAGGGTGTGGGTGAAATGAAAGTGGGTAAAGCAGCTGCGATTGGTGGGATAAAGACAGAAATGTTAAAAGTAGATCGGGATATAGTTTTGGAGTGGTTGATGCCTTTGTTCAGTTAATGTATGAAAATGGGGAAAGGTACCCCGGGATAGGCAGAGAGCATTCATAGTTTTTTGTATAAAAGAAAAGGGGACAAAAAAAAGATGTATAAGAATTATCGGGAAATAAGCCTGTTGTGAAGCTTGGGCTGCAAATGCTGCAGGTAGGAGGTGGCTGGAGGCAGTGGAGATGTCCTGTAAGAGCAATGTGTGGTGTAAATATTATGCAGAGAATTTGGAGTGTGGAAATTAGGAAGAGGTATGGAGTACTAAAAGTATTAGTCAGAGGGCTGAAGAGGGGTTGTTGAGGTGGTTTGGTCATTTAGAAAGAATGGATCACAGTAGAATGACTTGGAGACCATATAAATCTGTAGGGGAAGGAAGGCGGGGTATGGGTTATCCTCGGAAAGGTTGGAGAGAGGGGGTAAAGGAGGTTTTGTGGGCGAGGGGCTTGGACTTCCAGCAAGCATGTGCGAGCGTGTAAGATAGGAGTGAATGGAGACAAATGGTTTTTGGGACCTGACGAGCTATTGGAGTGTGAGCAGGGTAATATTTAGTGAAGGGATTCAGGGAAACCGATTATTCTTATATAGCCGGACTTGAGTTCTGGAAATGCGAAGTACAGTGCCTGCACTTTAAAGGAAGGGTTTGGGATATTGGCAATTTGGAGGGGGTATGTTATATATCTTTATATGTATATGCTTCTAAACTGTTGTATCTGGGTGCCTCTGCAAAGTCACTGATTATGTGTGAGTGAGGTGAAAGTGTTGAATGATGATGAAAGTATTTTCTTTTTGGGTCACCCTGCCTCGGTGGGAGACGGCCGACTTGTTAACCTGTAAACGGTCCAAACGTATATATGTGTTTTTTCAACATTTGAAAGTATGTAAAAAAGTATATCTTTTTTTTTTTTTTTTACATTTGAAAATGTGCAAAAAAACTTTGATCTACTTTTTTTTTTGGTTATATTTGAAAATATGTAAAAAAAACATAGATCTACTTTTGGAGCACTACGCATATGAATGTAGATCTGCTTGGACCGTTTACGGGTTAAAAACAAAACAAAACAACAGAAAAAGCCTGTTGAGTATACCATGTGAAGTCGTCGTCTTTTGACAAACTGGCTGTATTCCACCGACCATGTGAAGTGTGGTAGAGTAATTATTGAAAGAATTAAAGGTAAAACGGAGGGCAAGATTGCAAGTGAACAAGATTTTAGGAAGGGTATGGGATGTGTAAACCAAGTGTTAATATTGAAGCATGCAAGTGAGCAATATTTAGATGAAGGTAAGGAAATTTTCACTGCATTTATGGATCTAGAAAAGGCATATGACAGGGTAGATAGGAGAACAGTGTGACAGTTGTTGCGAGGTGGTGGGTTACCGAAAGCAGCTAAGAGTTTTTATGATAGTGAGGCTTAAGTTAAAGTATATAGGAGAGAGGGAGATTATTTTCCAGTAAAAGTAGGCACTAGACAGGATGCAGGATGTCGCTGTCCTTGTTTGACATATTTATAGATGGGGTTGGACATATAACGGGCATTTGTGAGCGTGTTAGGAGTGAGTAGAGGTAAGTGTTTTTTTATGATTTTACGTATTGAGTATGAACAAGGTAACATTTATTTATGAAGAGAATGAGGAAAACCAGTTAGCCAGACTTTAATCCTGAAGTTGGGAAGTATAGTACCTGCACTCTTAAGGAGGGGGGTGGGAATATCTCAGTTTGGAGGGGCATCTGAGTTGTAGTGTCAGCACGACTCTGGCAAGACAGTGATGAAGTAAGTGAAAGTGTTTTTTTTTTTTTTTTTTGGGGGGGGGGGTCACCCTACCTCAGTGGGAGACAACCAGTGTGTTAAAAAATTCTTTGTAATTGATTACTGGTGATATTAACTAGTTTCAAATAAATAAGTTAATGGAAAAGTGGTGTGTTCTCTTAGTTTGAAATTGGCTTGTTACAGTTGTAACTATATACATAATTACCTTATTCTTCTTTTTTTTGTAGCTATGGGAGCAGAGTTAAACTTGTTGCTTGTGGTGTCTTCTGCAGTATTTAATTTTATCTTTCTGTAATTTCCAGTGGTTATAGCATTTACTACTTCTTGTAACCCATTCCATTGTTTTACCACTGTGAAGAACTTTCTAGTATCCTCTCAGTACCCTGTCTTTGCCACTTATTGGTGTTAGGAACCCTTCCTTATCAATTCTAGTGTATATAATCTTGTGTGGTTATCGTGTCTCCTGTTTTCTTATCAGCAAAAGATAGAGTAATGCTTGCAGGCTTTTTTTCTAGCTCTGGGAGTGATTTTGTAGCTCATCTGTCTACTTTTTTCTGGCTCTTTTTAGGTGTGGAAATCATATCATTGTTGTATATTTCTAATTTTCCATCCTGCATTGTGTTAAATATCTTGTGTTCCATATAAATTAGATAAAACTATAGTGGATATTGCTAATATCATTTACTAGGGATTATTTTATTTAACTTTTTTTTAATTGGAACATTGATAAAGTAAGTCTAAATGGAGAACTTTTAATTAATTATCCAGACTCCTGCTGTTGTCACTGGAATGCACCTTGCAGCACAGTAGACAGTTGCCTAATGTGGTGGTTCTTTTACTGAAAATTGCGTTTTATGTGAAATCCATGTTACGTGAACTGAAGAACTTGAGGAATAAGTAGGGTTTTGTTCGGGAGACCTCAAAAAAATCTATAAAAGATTACCTAAGGCAGTCATTTCTTGTTTTAAATTCTGGTTGGGGGTTACCTGTTCATATGAAAGTGTTTGCAGAGGGTTACTGTGACTTTATACAATGCTTGCACAGACATGTGGGAGGCACTATCACCTACCAGTACTATCACCTATCACCATCACATAATTTTTAAGGCCTGTGGATTCCTTCCACAGAGAATGTTTAGGGCTCATTATGGTTCTGCTGTGGTGGTAATGAATGCTAAATGTCAGCCTGAGGAGGAGATTGCTGTCTCACTGTAAATTAGTTAGTGTATATAATCCATTATTGGTAATACCAATGTTCAAAACATCTTGAGAATAAAATATCTTTGTTCTTTCAGTTGAAAAAAGCCAGCTGGAGTGTAAATGAGGTGGACTTGTGGGAATTGAATGAAGCTTTTGCTGCCCAGAGCTTAGCAGTACTTCAAGAGCTTGGTATTGACGTAGAAAAAGTTAATGTTAATGGTGGTGCTATTGCATTAGGGCATCCAATTGGAGCTTCAGGTATGAAATATTAGCAATATTTTTGAGGTTAATTAAAATTAAAATTCTTTTAAATTGTTATAGACAGTGGTGGTTAATACACTAGTCATCCTGCTTTATAGTCTTTATCTCTCAACATTTCAGCTACTGATTAGGCATTAGGATTTTATTTTTTTTTAAGCAGTACAGGTTGGCCATCACTGATCTGGCAATCACTAATCAAGTGCTAATTTCAGCTCTGAAATTGTACAGATGGTTGTAAGACACAGCAACAAGCCAATGGAGGAGAAAGCAGTAATGAAATAGTATAATACTTATCTTTATTTTCAGGTATGTCTTGCTACTTCTACTTGCATTTAGGTCACACTACACATACATGTACAAGCATATATATACACACACACACCCCTCTGGGTTTTCTTCTATTTCTTTCTAGTTCTTGTTCTTGTTTATTTCCTCTTACCTCCATGGGAAGTGGAACACGAATTTCCTCCGTAAAGCCATCGTGTTGTAAGAGCGACTAGTAATGCCGAGCAAGGGGCTAGTAACCCCTTCTCCTGTATATATTACTAAATTTAAAAAGAGAAACTTTAGTTTTTTCTTTTGAGCCACCCTGCCTCGGTGGGATACGGCTGGTATGTTGAAAGAAGAAGAAGACTTATCTTTATTTACTACAAGTACATGTACAAGGTATACAGACCATAGCTGACATCAGTGACATACTACTATATAGAAAGCCCCTTGTTATGCTGAACATTTTGGGCAAATTAAATCAGTTCTGTCCCAGGATGCGACCCACACCAGTCGACCAACACCCAGGTACGCATTATACTGATGGGTGAACACGGACAACCTGTGTAAGGAAACACACCTGATGTTTCCACCCCTTTGCCATTAATTGAACCTGAACCCTCACCATGTGGAGCAAGAGCTTTTGCCACCAGGCCATGGGGCACCGAAAAAATAAAAAAAATCACTAATGTGACGAAATGTTGCAATAAAATGGATAGTGAAGTATTGGGATGTGAGTGTGGGGGAGGTGCATGAGGCATTACCTAGAATGAAAGAGGGTAAGGCAGCTGGAACTGATGGGATCATGACAGAAATGTTAAAAGCAGGGGGGTGGGATATAGTGTTGGAGTGGTTGGTATTTTTGTTTAATGTATGAAAGAGGGGAAAGGTACCTAGGGATTGACAGAGAGCATGTATAGTCCCTTTATATAAAGGGAAGGGGGACAAGAGAGATTGTAAAAATTATAGAGGAATAAGTTTACCGAGTATACCAGGAAAAGTGTACGGTAGGGTTATTATTGAAGGAATTAGAGGTAAGACAGAATGTAGGATTGCAGATGAGCAAGGAGGTTTTAGAGTGGGTAGGGATGTGTAGATCAAGTGTTTACATTGAAGTATATATGTGAACAGTATTTAGATAAAGCTAGGGAAGTTTTTATTGCATTTATGGATTTAGAAAAGGCATATGATATAGTGGATAGGGGAGCAATGTGGCAGATGTTGCAAGTATATGGAATAGGTGGTAAGTTACTAAATGCTGTAAAGAGTTTTTATGAGGATAGTGAGGCTCAGGTTAAGGTGTGTAGAAGAGAGGGAGACTACTTCCCGGTAAAAGTAGGTCTTAGACAGGGATGTGTAATGTCACCATGGTTGTTTAATATATTTATAGATGGGGTTGTAAAAAGAAGTAAATGCTAGGGTGTTCGGGAGAGGGGTGGGATTAAATTATGGGGTATCAAATACAAAATGGGAATTGATAGTTACTTTTTGCTGATGATACTGTGCTTATGGGAGATTCTAAAGAAAAATTGCAAAGGTTAGTGGACGAGTTTGGGAGTGTGTGTAAAGGTAGAAAGTTGAAAGTGAACATAGAAAAAGAGTAAGGTGATGAGGGTATCAAATGATTTAGATAAAGAAAAATTGGATATCAAATTGGGGAGGAGGAGTATGGAAGAAGTGAATGTTTTCAGATATTTGGGAGTTGATGTGTCAGCGGATGGATTTATGAAGGATGAGGTTAATCATAGAATTGATGAAGGTAAAAAGGCGAGTGGTGTGTTGAGGTATATGTGGAGTCAAAAAACATTATCTATGGAGGCAAAGAAGGGAATGTATGAAAGTATAGTAGTACCAACACTCTTATATGGGTGTGAAGCTTGGGTTATAAATGCTGCAGCGAGGAGGTGGTTGGAGGCAGTGGAGATGTCCTGTCTGAGGGCAATGTGTGGTGTAAATATTATGCAGAAAATTTGGAGTATGGAAATTAGGAGAAGGTGTGGAGTTAATAAAAGTATAAATCAGAGGGCAGAAGAGGGGTTGTTGAGGTGGTTTGGTCATTTAGAGAGAATGGATCAAAGTAGAATGACATGGAGAGCGTATAAATCTGTAAGGGAAGGAAGGCGAGGTAGGGGTCGTCCTTGAAAACGTTGGAGGAAGGGAGTAAAGGAGGTTTTGTGGGCGAGAGGCTTGGACTTCCAGCAAGCGTGCGTGAGCATGTTAGATAGGTGTGAATGGAGACGAATGGTATATGGGATCTGACGAGCTGTTGGAGTGTGAGCAGGGTAATATTTAGTGAAGGGATTCAGGTAAACCAGTTACTTTTATATAGCCGGACTTGGGTCCTGGAAATGGGAAGTACAATGCCTGCACTTTAACCCTTTGACTGTTTTGGTTTTATATATATGTCTTACGAGCCAGTGTTTCAGTTGTATTAATACGCATAAATTCTAGCTTTTTCAAATCAAGCAGGAGAAAGCTGGTAGGCCCACATGTGAGAGAATGGGTTTGTGTGGTCAGTGTGCACCACATAAAAAAAATCCTGCAGCACGGAGTGCATAATGAGGAAAAAAAAAAACTGACCGTTTTTTTTTTTGGATTAAAATGCTGGCTTTGAGGTGTATTTTCGTGTAGTATTTATCGTTGTATTATCGTTTTCATGGCCTCGCATGATAAAATGGAAAACATATTACAGAAATAGAGGTGATTTTGATTAGTTTCACGATGAAAACGACCTTGAAATTGAGCTCAGTAGCGGAAATGTTTGATTTTTACCAATGTTCAGGAGTAAGCAACTCACACCACACATCCAATACATGTCAACCTGGGAGTCTAATATTCTTTCACTAGTGCACTGATATTATTTATGCCATTTTTACAATAATGCAGTAGTCTGCATAACAGTAAATTTTGTATTTATTGTATGAATAAAAAATCAAAATAGAAAGCAATAGTAATACAAGAGGGGCTAGAGATGTGACTAATGAAGAGAGGATATGTTATTTTAGTGCCAAGAATGTCTATCTTGTTTATTCTGGACCCTATTTTGAAATTGGCATCTTTTTTAATTTGCGTGAAATTGGCCAAATTGCCAATTTCTGACCACTTTATTGGATAGTTCAAATCGGTAAATGGGCAGTTTCTTGTACTCAACTGATAGAAAAAATGGAGTTCTAAAGAAATAGCTATGAGGTTGGCCAACTGGAACAACGGAATTGGCCAAAAAACGGCTCAAAATCGGCGAAATTGCCGATGAGTATACGTCGCCGAAACCACTAACTTCCTGGGAGCGTAATTCCGTAAGTTTTCGACCAAATTTCATACTTTTGGTGTCATTACCATTGGGAAAAGACTATCATTTCATAAGAAGAAAAAATTTTTTTTCCAAAAAATTTTGCGACATAGAATGACGGTTTCAGAAAGGGGCTTGCAACAGTCAAAGGGTTAAAGGAGGGGTTTGGGATGTTGGCAGTCTGGAGGGATATGTTGTGTATCTTTATATGTATATGCTTCTAAACTGTTGTATCCTGAGCACCTTTGCAAAAACAGTGATTATGTGTGAGTGAGGTGAAAGTGTTGAATGATGATGAAAGTATTTTCTTTTTGGGAATTTTCTTTCTTTTTGGGTCACCCTGCCTTGGTGGGAGACGGCCGACTTGTTAAAAAAATATATATATATAACTGAGCAAATGTAAGGCTTTTAAAGAATTCTGATTGGATTCCTTCTGTCTACATTTCAAGCCAAGAACTGTTTTCTTTTATCTTTATAAAAAAATTCATTAAGGAATTTGATTTTTTTTTTATATAAATTTATATTGTATACGTAACCTCCATTTTATGGGTTAAAGCCATTTGTACATATAGAGGGATGGTGCTATACAAAATACTAAATTGAATTTTTACCTTTTGCAGGTGCAAGGATTCTGGTGACTTTGCTTCATGCAATGCAACGTCTGAAAAAGAAGCGAGGAGTGGCTGCACTCTGCATAGGTGGAGGAATGGGCATTGCTCTTTGTGTAGAAAGTTTCTGATAGTTTTGTAATTGCTTTTCAAATGTGATTTCTGGGGATCTCGTATGTATAAAATGATATGGAGAGTTTTTAAAATTTTGGCTTGCTAATACAGTATCTTAAAGCTCAAATATGGTGCCTTTTATACATACATGAATACATTTATATATACAAGTGATTTTTATCTAAAATTATTTTTATTATAATAGATACATTATTTACAGTGAGGAGATTTATACACATTTGTGTTTTAATAATTCTGGGTCATTTTTCAAACCACTTTAATTACCATGACTTTTAATGCTAATGTCTCTGCACTCACCAGGTCACAGCGTTGGCCTTTTTTTTTTAATTACATTCCATGAATTCCAGTTAACCTTAAATTGTTTGTATTAGAGTAATTTATAATTTTCTGTACATTACCTTTTTATATAAATGCTTTCCTCCACATTCCAGGAAGACGTTTTTGTTGCATTGTATTTTATTGAGTAAGTAGTTGAATAATTTGTTTAATGGCAATTAGTCAGGCTACCTCAAAGTTTTCAGATTAGCTTAGATTGTGGGAAATTTTTGAAGAGGCAACTAATAAGATCTTGTAGCAGTATAGTATGTGCATATGAAAACATTTTTTGCAATAAACATGGTGCAGTAATATATTAAGACTAGATAAACAATCAAGTAAGATTTCCATCTCTATACTGTAGAATGCAAAAGTAATCTAAACTTTGGAGAGGGAATTAATATTTGTAGAACAAGAAATGTGTAAATATAGCCTACATGAACCACCTGACTTGATAGTTGCATTATAATTGGAAAAGCCTACAAAGTAATCAGTACTTCCCTCTTGATCTGGTATTAAACTTTCTTTGGCAGAAACTAAATCTTAACTGTATAAACAAGTTAATACATTAAGGTGTTCAGAGTGCATATTTCATCCAGAACAGTTGTAAGTTGTGGAAACTTCCTGATAAGCTTGTTATGTGAGAAGCTTTTAAAGAGACCTACTTAGAATTAGTCATAGATAAAATATTATAAGGCTGTGATGTTTGTATAAAAATTAAAATATATTATAAATACTTTTTTGTACATGTAGATGGGATTCTCAAGTTAGATTTAAATCTTTGTTAGTCTGGTACTGCAACAGATGAATCTCAGTAGGAATCTCTCATTTCCATTTGCTTTCTTACCAAGATCCAAAGTGTATTTGTTTTTGAGGTCAACTTTCAAGATAGTCATACATGTGAAAGTTTCTCTAAGTATTGTAATTTTGATTTTTATAACTATTGTATCTCATATTTTGATACTGTATCTAATTCTCTCAGTATATTTAAATTCTTAGTGCACAAGTGCATGTAAGAAGGGCTTGTAAGATCATTTTTTTTTCAATGACTTTGATATAACTGGTTTGCATTTCCTAGTTTTAATATATTATGATTCTGATTATAGATTTTTATAATTGTCTTGAAATGTTTACTGGTTTTCTCTCACGCAGATTGTGTGTGTGAAATATAGATGAAACAACAAGTGGTATAGAGCTAGTAAGAGTAGCTAAGTATATAACAGCAGATTTTAAAGAGTACGAATTTTATTAGATAACTTGTCGTTTCTTGGATGTGTATTTCCTGTGAATTTTACTTAAAATTTTGTGTATATGTAGGTATAGGAATTTGCATTTCTGGTTGTTTGGAAAATTATGTATAATGAGATCTGTCATTTTTTAATATTAGTATTTCTAGTGATGGGACGATATTTTTTTTTTTTTTTGATACCAGTAATTGGTTTTAGGCCAATACTGACTGATACTTCGGCATACTCCTAATTGTGATTGCTTGATAATGGATATCTGTGCGGATATTTTGTGCAGGCAAAGTTCCAGGATTCGAGTCTATCTATTTATCTGTCTCTCTCTGTCTCTTACTTCTTCACCCCCCCCCCTTCCTTCCTCCCACTGAGGCAGGGTGACATGACAGAAAAGTTGCTCATTCAGTATGTCATCTGAACTGTGATGTCAGTGCACTTCTGGCAAGAAGTGCATTGACATCACAGTTCAGATGACTTGCCAAACAGCAACATCTGGTTATCCCTCCTTCAGGGTGCACCCACTGTATGTCTTGCCTCCAGGACTCGAGTTCAACTAACTGGTTTCCCTGAATCCCTTCATAAATATTACATGAGAACATAAGAAAGAAGGAACACTGCAGCAGGTCTACTGACCCATGCAAAGCAGGCCCCCCCCCATTAGCTCAACACCTCTTTTACCCCCTACCTCTAGCCTTTCCTGGGATGACCCCTACCCTACTCCCTCCACCCCAGATTTATATGCCCTTCTGTTCATATTATTCTTTATCTTCTCCAAACCATCTCAACAGCCCCTCCTCAGACTTCTGAATAATACTTTTAGTGACTTCATACCTAATCTTCAAAGTCTGAATTCTTCTTCATAATCACACCACACATTACCCTCTTTCATACATTTATTAAACAAAAGTACCAACCACTCCAACACTATATCATCCCCTGCTTTTAACATTTCTGTCATGATCCCATCAGTTCCAGCTGCTTTACCCCCTTTCATTCTATGTAATGCCTCACGTACCTCCCCCACACTTACATTCTGCTCTTCTTCACTCCTAAAAGATGGTATACCTCCCTGGCCAGTGCATGAAATTACCGCCTCCCTTTCTTCCTCAACATTTAAAAGTTCCTCAAAATATTCTAGCCATCTACCTAATACCTCCCTCTCCCCATCTACTAACTCCCCTACTCTGTTTTTAACTGACAAATCCATACGTTCTCTAGGCTTTCTTAACTTGTTTAACTCGCTCTAAAATTTTTTCTTATTTTCATTAAAATTTCTTGACAGTGCCTCTCCCACTCTATCATCTGCTCTCATTTTGCACTCTCTCACCACTCTCTTCACCTTTCTTTTACTCTCCATATACTCTGCTCTTCTTATAACACTTCTGCTTTGTAAAAACCTCTCATAAGCTAACTTTTTCTCTTTTATCACACCCTTTACTTCATCATTCCACCAATCACTCCTCTTTCCCCCTGCCCCCACCCTCCTATAACCACAAACTTCTGCCCCACATTTTAATACTGCATTTTTAAAACTCAGCCAACCCTCTTCAACTACTCATCTTTGCACTAGCCCACCTTTCTGCCAATAGTCGCTTATATCTCACCCAAACTTCCTCCTCCCTTAGTTTATACACTTTCACTTCCCTCCTACTTGTTGTTGCCACCTTCCTCTTGTCCCATCTACCTCTTACTCCAACTGTAGGTACAACTAAATAATGATCCGATATATCAGTTGCCCCTCTATAAACATGTACATCCTGGAGCCTACCCATTAACCTTTTATCCACCAATACATAATCTAACAAACTACTTTCATTATGTGCTACTTCATACCTTGTATATTTATCCTCTTTTTCATAAAATATGTATTACTTATTACCAAATCTCTTTCTACACATAGCTCAATTAAGGGCTCCCCATTTACATTTACCCCTGGCACCCCAAATTTACCTACTACTCCCTCCACAACATTTTTACCCACTTAAGCATTGAAATCCCCAACCACAAGTACTCTCGCACTTGGTTCAAAACTCCCCACGCATTCACTCAACATTTCCCAAATTCTCTCTCTCTCTCTCTACACTTCTCTCTTCTCCAGTTGCATATACACTTACTATAACCCACTTCACATCCAACCTTTATTTTACTCCACATAATCCTTGAATTAATACATTTATAGTCCCTCTTTTCCTGCCATATCTTATCCTTCAACATTATTGCTACTCCTTTAGCTCTAACTCTATTTGAAACCCCTGACCTAATCCCATTTATTCCTCTCCACTGAAACTCTCCCACCCCCTTCAGCTTTGTTTCACTTAAAGCCAGGACATCAAGCTTCTCATTCATAACATCCATAATCATCTCTTTCTTATCATTTGCACAAAATCCACGCACATTCAGACTTCCCACTTTGACAATTTTCTTCTTATTCTTTTTAGTAATCTTGACAGGAAAAGGGGTTACTGGCCCATTGTTCCCGGCATTTTAATTGACTTTTACAACACATGGCTTTCGGAGGAAAGATTCTTATTCCACTTCCCCATGGATATAAAAGGAAAAGTAATAAGACCAAGAACTATTAAGGTAAAATCAAAGAAAACTCAGATGAGTGTGTGTAAATAAACGTGTACATGTATGTGTAGTGTGACCTAAGTGTAAGTAGAAGTAGCAAGACATACCTGTAATCTTGCATATTTATGAGACAAAGAAACACCAGCAATCCTACCATCATGTAAAACAATTACAGGCTTTTGTTTTACATTCACTTGGCAGGACGGTAGTACCTCCCTGGGAGGTTGCTGTCTACCAACCTACTACCTATGTATGAAAGAGGGGAAGGTACCTAGGGATTGGCGGAGAGCATGTATAGTCCCTTTATATAAAGGGAAGGGGGACAAAAGAGATTGTAAAAATTATAGAGGAATAAGTTTGAGTATACCAGGAAAAGCGTACGGTAGGGTTATTATTGAAAGAATTAGAGGTAAGACAGAATGTAGGATTGCGGATGAGCAAGAAGATTTCAGAGTGGGTAGGGGATGTGTAGATCAAGTGTGTACATTGAAGCATATATGTGAACAGTATTTAGATAAAGGTAGGGAAGTTTTTATTGCATTTATGGATTTAGAAAAGGCATATGATAGGGGAGCAATGTGGCAGAGGTTGCAAGTATATGGAATAGGTGGTAAGTTACTAAATGCTGTAAAGAGTTTTTATGAGGATAGTGAGGCTCAGGTTAGGGTGTGTAGAAGAGAGGGAGACTACTTCCCGGTAAAAGTAGGTCTTAGACAGGGATGTGTAATGTTACCATGGTTGTTTAATATATTTATAGATGGGGTTGTAAAAGAAGTAAATGCTAGGGTGTTCGGGAGAGGGGTGGGATTAAATTATTGGGAATCAAATACAAAATGGGAATTGACAGTTACTTTTTGCTGATGATACTGTGCTTATGGGAGATTCTAAAGAAAAATTGCAAAGGTTAGTGGATTAGTTTGGGAGTGTGTGTAAAGGTAGAAAGTTGAAAGTGAACATAGAAAAACAGTAAGGTGATGAGGGTATCAAATGATTTAGATAAAGAAAAATTGGATATCAAATTGGGGAGGAGGAATATGGAAGAAGTGAATGTTTTCAGATACTTGGGAGTTGACGTGTTGGCTGATGGATTTATGAAGGATGAGGTTAATCATAGAATTGATGAAGGAAAAAAGATGAGTGGTGCGTTGAGGTATATGTGGAGTCAAAAAACGTTATCTATGGAGGCAAAGAAGAGAATGTATGAAAGTATAGTAGTACCAACACTCTTATATGGGTGTGAAGCTTGGGTTGTGAATGCAGCAGCGAGGAGGCGGTTGGAGGCAGTGGAGATGTCCTGTCTAAGGGCAATGTGTGGTGTAAATATTATGCAGAAAATTCGGAGTGTGGAAATTAGGAGGTGTGTAGTTTCTAAAAGTATTAGAGGGATGAAGAGGGGTTGTTGAGGTGGTTTGGTCATTTAGAGATAATGGATCAAAGTAGAATGACATGGAGAGCATTTAAATCTGTAGGAGAAGGAAGGTGGGGTAGGGGTCGTCCTCGAAAAGGTTGGAAGGAAGGGGTAAGGGAGGTTTTGTGGGCGAGGGGCTTGGACTTCCAGCAGGCGTGCATGAGCGTGTTCGATAGGAGTGAATGGTATTTGGGACCTGACGATCTGTTGGAGTGTGAGAAGGGTAATATTTAGTGAAGGGATTCAGGGAAACCAGTTATTTTTATATAGCTGGACTTGAGTCCTGGAAATGGGAAGTACACTGCCTGCACTCTAAAGGAGGGGTTTTGGGATATTAGCAGTTTGGAGGGATATGTTGTGTATCTTTATACGTATATGCTTCTAAACTGTTGTGTTTTGAGCACCTCTGCAAAAACAGTGATTATGTGAGAGTGAGGTGAAAGTGTTGAATGATGATGAAAGTATTTTCTTTTGGATGATTTTCTTTCTTTTTGGGTCACCCTGCCTCGGTGGGAGATGGTCGACTTGTTGAAAAAAAAAAAAAATTACCCTCAAACATGACATCTCAGCTGCCTCCAACAACCTTCTCACTTCAATGTTCAAAACCCATGCTTCACACCTGTACAACAATGGATGGTGTATCATCGGCAGGTTATTAGTATGAGGTCACTTCTTTCAACGTACCAGTTGTATCCCACTGAGGTGGGGTGGCCCAAAAGAAAAAACTAGAGGTATTTGGTAATATTATAGTACAGTAAACCCTTGGTATGATGAGCTAATAGGGAAAACAGGTGGCCACTAATGGCAGTTGTGGTGGATAGAGAAAAAATTATTCCTCGATAGTAACAATAACCAAAAATTCTGTAACTGAGTAACTTTGTCCGTTGTTTCTGAATCTGTTCGCCCAGTGAATTTTATTTTATATTGCTGAGTCAATTGTAGAAAGGTGTGTTATATTGAAGGTTTACTGTACTTAAAAATATGAGGAATAAGAGGGCCCAGTATGCTGCCATTTCATAGTGTAGGCAAGATAATTCAAGGTTGCATTTTGATGTTACTTATGATAGGATGTAGTTACCAGTTTGGTTCCTAATTCCATAGTGCTGTTTTTTGAAGAGGAGTTTTATGATTGTGTTGAAACTTTCATAGTCCGTGGTCTTAATAGGTAATTGAATGCTGTGCTAATTGTGTAGCATTTTAAAGATGGTGTCATTTATTTTTTCTTTCTTTCAACGCACCGGCCGTATCCCACCGAGGCAGGGTGGCCCAAAAAGAAAAAGAAAAGTTTCTTTTTTTTAAATTTAGTAATTTATACAGAAGGGGTTACTAGCCCCTTGCTCCCGGTATTTTAGTCGCCTCTTATAACACGCATGGCTTATTGAGGAAGAATTCTGTTCCACTTCCCCATGGAGATAAGAGAAAATAAACAAGAACAAGAACTAGAAACAAAATAAAAGAAAACCCAGAGGGGTGTCTATATATATGCTTGTACATGTACGTGTAGTGTGACCTAAGTGTAAGTAGAAGTAGCAAGACGTACCTGAAATCTTGCAGGTTTTATTTTTTTTATTATCACACTGACCGATTCCCACCAAGGCAGGGTGGCCCGAAAAAGAAAAACTTTCACCATCATTCACTCCATCACTGTCTTGCCAGAAGGGTGCTTTACACTACAGTTTTTAAACTGCAACATTAACACCCCTCCTTCAGAGTGCAGGCACTGTACTTCCCATCTCCAGGACTCAAGTCCGGCCTGCCGGTTTCCCTGAACCCCTTCATAAATGTTACTTTGCTCACACTCCAACAGCACGTCAAGTATTAAAAACCATTCGCCTCCATTCACTCCTATCAAACACGCTCACGCACGCCTGCTGGAAGTCCAAGCCCCTCGCACACAAAACCTCCTTTACCCCCTCCCTCCAACCTTTCCTAGGCCGACCCCTATCCCCCCTTCCTTCCACTACAGACTGATACACTCTTGAAGTCATTCTGTTTCGCTCCATTCTCTCTACAGGTTTATGAGACAGAAAAAAGGACACCAGTAATCCTACCATGTAAAACAATTGCAGGCTTTCGTTTTACACTCACTTGGCAGGACGGTAGTATCTCCCTGGGTGGTTGCTGTTTACCAACCTACTACCTATGTGTCATTTATTTTTGTGGGTTCTAAATCCAAATTGACAGGAAGTTAAATGTTTTGGGATGTAGGCATTTAGTACATAAATTGTAAAAGTTTTTCATTTATTTTATATAGTACTGACAGGTCATTGATTACAATTTTATCACTATCTTTTAATGTGTGGAAGTGTCTGAGATTAAGGTGACTTGTTAAATCAGAGTGGATTGTAGAGATAGTATGTGATTAGGTGTAAGGAATTTGTGGTTGTTGGTTAGCTTGTATTGTGAAGAATTTAAATTTTTATAACTATCATTAACTGAGGGTAATAATGTTCCATTTTTTGGAGAGATTTGTTTCATAGCTTACATGTTTTTCAGTTGAGAATTTATAACGGGTTTCCACATTGTTTTTCATGTTGCCATTTGCTATGCAAAATTTGTCATCATAGGCCTGACTGGCCTATGATTATCATAAATAGTGTTGAGTATCTTTTTGACATTCTTGTGATTTTCTTAGCTTTATTTTGCACTCATGTTCCATGTCAATAAATTGAGGTAAACCTCTTGTAATCCATGAGTTGTCTAGTATTATTCCATGAATTTGTTAAGTTAATAGAGGATAGTGTGTATTGTAGAGGCTAACAGAGAATCTGTTGGTACTATTTTAGATAGTATTGATAGGCAGTTAAATTAATTTATTTTCTTTGTTGGTGGCAGAAAATAATTATTATAGAATGGTGTGTTGGGAACTAGGAAAATACAAGGCGCTTGAATTGATGGCTGTCCAAAGTAACAGTATCTCAACGATTTACTGTACTCTCTCATTCATTCTGAATAAGCAAGGCAGCTGTTTTATAACTATTTTTGCTATAAATGTGACTTAAAGTTTTTCTGTTTATGCTAAATTATAAGGAATTATTGAAGGTGCATAAGAGTACAATATATATGGTAAACAAGTAAGAGTATAATATATTGGTATTTAACTTATGGTAACTAGCAGCAATTTCTTATTCTTGATGTTATTACTAGTGGTATTGTTTAAGAAGATAGCAGTAATTTTGTTATGAAGAGGAATTGGTAATTATCATTTTGATATATAGGAAAGGGAGTGCAGGTTATGCATGAGTCACTATTGTGAATGGTTAGTAATGGGAAAAGTCTGATATGAATATATTGTAAGCCTACAGTGAAATGTAACAGTATTTAGTCATGCAAGACAACCTTATTTGAATACTAAAAGTAATGCTATATGTACTGGTAGTGTAATTTACGTATGCCTTAAATAATATTTGTAATTGATTTACCGCTACATTTTAAAATAATTTTTCACTATGTACTTTGAAATTTCATGCAGGTAATTAATTTTGGAATATATATTTTAATATGCACAGCACATACTGTTTAGATAACTTCATCGTCTTCCAAATGTGAAAGAATAACAAAGGGGAAATTTTATTTTTTAAATGTTTTTAAATTTAGTTATATACACCTACCATCTGACTTACGACCTGCTCGACTTACGACCACTCGACTTACAACCGTGTTTTTTATGCCAAATTTTTGGGAAATAAACAACTGTGTGTTGTACACAGTGTTTATCCTAAACCTTACAGTATAAAATACAGTACTAACAACATAAAAAGTAAAGTAAAACATGAAATGCCAAAATAAAACAATAAAATAGTCATTACAAAAATGTTTTGTTGATATTCAGTAGTAAAGTTCAACTTACGACCATTTCAACTTACGACCGGTTTCTCGGAACCGAACTCGGTCGTAAGTCGGATGGTAGGTGTATTTCAATGAGCATAGTACATGTTATTGGGTAGTTTTATTGTCTTCCATATAGAAAATGATGAGCTAAGGTAAATTCTCTACATTACTTTAAAAGTGGTAGTACAGTATTGGCCTGATAGTTTTTTATCTTCAATACTGGTACCATGTGTGTGCAGTTAAAAACCCTGCAATGCAGATTGAATGGCTATGACTTGCATCATGGATTTTGTTTTATCATTAATGTATATATATATATATGAGTATATTTAGCATTGTTAATCAAATTTATACAGTATTAGAATATAAATAATAACTAGTTATTAAGGCTTAATGCCACTTAAAGAGTTTATATTGTTATAATTGTGATAACTGGTTATTTTTTAAATATATGTATTTTTGTTATAAATTTCATACTGTTGTCTTTGAAAGTTATACTATTGTTAATGTTAACTTCAGGTACTATATGTATATGTAAGGTAAAATAACATTCCTTATCTCCTGGCACTTATAAACTTATTAGTGTTTTTAATTGGTAATTTTTTAATATTAATATTTGGCCAGGTAAAAAGTTTAGAGAATGAGTGAATTTAGTCCCTCTTATATAGTTATCACTCAGTTTTGAGTGATTGTGAAAACACTTGGCAACTCAATATTTTATTAAAAAAATTGTGCTGCTACATATGACAGTAGCCATATTATTTCGAAAGTTTTATGGTTAATTGCTCATTGTAAGTTAAAATTCTAGTTCTGTCTAAGATATTTGGTGTAGGTGTTTGCAGATATTTTAAATTAGTGTTGTATTTAGTCTTGCATAAGCAGCATGAACGAATTCCTTTTTCTCATTATTAGGTGATGGTGTATGCTTTTTCTAGTTTATTAAAAAAATTAATCTTGCACCATATTTCATTTCCAGTCATGTAGTTTATAAACTTGTACAAGCTCAAAAAAAATATAGCCTTCCTTAAGAAACCCATAAAGTTTTCAGCAGTATATAATACGTACTAATGTATTTTTATTATAATTGTGCACGAGTGTTTCCAGGTAAGAGGTGATGCCATAAACCACCAACACAAATTTTGGGATATCTCGTAAAAAAATTAATAGTGAAAAAATTAACCCTTAAACTGTCCAAACGTAGATCAACGTCCACGTACGAGGGGCTCCGAATGTAGATCTGTTTTTTTTTTTTTTTTTACATGATTTCAAATGGGGAAAATAAAGGTCGGAGCACTGCGCACGTGAACATAGATCTATATTTGGACAGTTTATGGGTTAAAAGGCCTCTGTATAATTATTATTGCTATTCAGGGAAACTTGTAGTTAAAGGGCTTTTATTGTGAGGAATGTGAAGTTTGTCCCTTTCAAATCAGGTAGTGAGAATATTTTGCCTTTTGTCCCCGTCAAGGGAGGTACTCTTGATCCAAGGAACTGGACTTATCCTCCCCTTCCTTGGATCAGACCTGAATGCCTCCCATTTCACAAGCAGTATATGACCCCTACAAGTTCAGAGCCTCCTCCTGATTAAGTAAATAATTTTTTTTTTTTCAACAAGTCTGCCGTCTCCCACCGAGGCAGGGTGACCCAAAAAAGAAAGAAAATCCCCAAAAAGAAAATGCTTTCATAATCATTCAACACTTTCACCACACTCACACATTATCACTGTTTTTGCAGAGGTGCTCAGAATACAAGTTTAGAAGCATACACATATAAAGATACACAACATATCCCTCCAAACTGCCAATATCCCAAACCCCTCCTTTAAAGTGCAGGCATTGTACTTCCCATTTCCAGGACTCAAGTCCGACTATATGAAAATAACCAGTTTCCCTGAATCCCTTCACTAAATATTACCCTGCTCACACTCCAACAGATCGTCAGGTCCCAAGTACCATTAGTCTCCATTCACTCCTATTAACACGCTCACGCACGCTTGCTGGAAGTCCAAGCCCCTGCCCACAAAACCCCCTTTACCCCCTCTCTCCAACCCTTTCGAGGGCGGGCCCCTACCCCACCTTCCTTCCCCTATTGATTTATATGCTTTCCATGTCATTCTACTTTGGTCCATTCTCTCTAAATGACCAAACCACCTCAACAACCCCTCTTTGCCTCTGACTAATACTTTTATTAACTCCACACCTTTTCCTAATTTCCACACTCCGAATTTTCTGCATAATATTTACACCACACATTGCCCCTTTAAAAAAGGACATCTCCCCTGCCTCCAACCGTCTCCTCGCTGCTGCATTTACCACCCCAAACTTCACACCCATTAAGTGTGTTGGTACTACTATACATTATACATTCCCTTCTTTGCCTCCATAGATACGTTTTTTGACTCCACATATACCTCAACGCACCACTCACCTTTTTTCCCTCATCAATTCTATGATTAACCTCAGTCTTATAAATCCACCGCCGACACGTCAACTCCCAAGTATCTGAAAACATTCACTTCTTCCATACTCCCCCTCCCCAATTTTTTTTTATCTAAAATCATTTGATACCCTCATCACCTTACTTTTTCTATGTTCACTTTCAACTTTCTTTCCTTTAACCATTCCCAAACTCATCCACTAACCTTTGCAATTTTTCTTTTTGAATCTCCATAAGCCCCGTATCTCAGCAAAAAGTAACTGTCAATTCCCCTTTTGAATTTGATTTCCCCAAAAATTTTAAACCCACCCTCTCCCGAAACCCTAGCATTTACTTCCCTTTTCAAACCCCCTCTATAAATATATTAAACAACCATGGTGACATTACACATCCTGTCTAAGACCTACTTTTACCGGGAAGTAGTCTCCCTCTCTTCTACACACCCCAACCTGAGCCTCACTATCCTCATAAAAAAAATCTTTACCCGCATTTAATAAAATTTCCACCTATTCATATACTTGCAACATCTGCCACATTGCTCCCCCTATCCACTCTATCATATGCCTTTTCTAAAACCATAAAAGCAATAAAACTTCCCTACCTTTATCTAAATACTGTTCACATATTATGCTTCATGTAAACACTTGATATACACCCTCCCCTACCCACTCTGAAACCTCCTTGCTTATCCGCAATCCTACATTCTGTCTTACCCCTAATTCTTTCAATTATAACCCTACCGTACACTTTTCCTGGTATACTCAGTAAACTTATTCCTCTATAATTTTTACAGTCTCTTTTGTCCCTTTTCCCTTTATATAAAGGGACTATACATGCTCTCCGCCAATCCCTAGGTACCTTCCCCTCTTTCATGCATTTATTAAACAAAAGTACCAACCACTCCAACACTATATCCCCCCTGCTTTTAACATTTCTGTCATGATCCCATCAGTTCCAGCTGCTTTACCCCCTTTCATTCTACGTAATGCCTCACGTACCTCCCCCACACTTGCATTCTGCTCTTCTTCACTCCTAAAAGATGGTATACCTCCCTGACCAGTGCATGAAATTACTGCCTCTCTTTCTTCCTTTACATTTAAAAGTTTCCTCAAAATATTCTCGCCGTCTACCTAATACCTCCATCTCCCCATCTACTAACTCCCCTACTCTGTTTTTAACTGACAAATCCATACTTTCCCTAGGCTTTCTTAACTTGTTTAACTCACTCCAAAATTTTTTCTTATTTTCATTAAAATTTCTTGACAGTGCCTCTCCCACTCTATCATCTGCTCTCCTTTTGCACTCTCTTTACCTTTCTTTTACACTCCATATACTCTGCTCTTCTTATAACACTTCTGCTTTGTAAAACCTTTTCTTAAGTACCTTTTTCTCTTTTATCACACCCTTTACTTCATCATTCCACCAATCCTCTTTCCTCCTGCCCCACTCTCCTAAAACCACAAACTTCTGCCCCCCCATTCTAATACTGCATTTTTAAAACTATTCCAACCCTCTTCAACCCCCCCCACTACTCATCTTGCACTAGCCCACCTTTCTGCCAATAGTCACTTACATCTCACCCGAACTTCCTCCTCCCTTAGTTTATACACTTTCACCTCCCTCTTACTTGTTGTTGCCACCTTCCTCTTTTCCCATCTACCTCTTACTCTAACTGTAGCTACAACTAAATAATGATCCGATATATCAGTTGCCCCTCTATAAACATGTACATCCTGGAGCCTACCCTTCAACCTTTTATCCACCAATACATAATCTAATAAACTACTTTCATTACGTGCTACATACCTTGTATATTTATTTATCCTCTTGTAAAAATTCTGTTCTTTGCAGAGGGAAAAAAAGGTGGTTCTCTTTCTTGCTTGCTGGATATAGTGGGGACTGTATGTTCTTGTTACTATCGTCTCGCTGCATACTATTTTTGTTAGTTTCAAACAACACACTGTACTTTGCATGCAATTCAGTGCTTTGATTTCTGGCATCCCTTTGTTTTGCACATTCATCTGTTCTTATGTTGCATTTTTTGGCCAACAATAAGACGTCTCCTTTTGTGTCCCAAGACACGTACAGGGAAATGAACTTTTGACTACTCATGTTGCAGTACAAACATTGATATAACAGGAGGGTTTGCCCCTTCTCTGAGTCTTTTTTTCATCTTGCTTCGAAGCATATGCTGTATGACAAGGGTTTAGCACTTAATATATGTACTCTAACAAAAAACCAACAAGCTCTTTACAATTAAACCACACTAAGAATTCAGTCAATTTCCTACCATTACTGTTGGCTGTAGATAGTTTCTTGCATGCCTACTTATTAGACACACAGTATCTCATACAGACAACCAGTACCTATCCATATCAGATTATGAACTTTTAGATGAAACTCATTTATTGCACCAATTCAGAATTGTCCTGCACAATCCCTCAGTGGAAGGCACCTTGATGCTGGTGAGGTATTCTTGATCTAAAGCCCTTGTGGCTTAGCACTTCTTTTTGATTATAATAATAATTCTTGATCCAAGGTAGTGGACCCATCCCAGTCTTCCTTGGATGTTGCATGATTGCCTCCCATTTCCCATGTGCAGTATGACTGTCGGTTTGCTTCCCATAATTATAGTATTAGAATAAATGGTCACATCTATTTTGTGCCCCTGCTGGACATCCTTATTTTCATAGTGAAGGGACTGAAGCTTCGATCATTATAAAGGACAGTGATTAGTACAAGGTAAACAAAAACTTTTTTTTAATAGGGTGCAAAATGTATACATGTCCACATCCTGTACAGCACCATATCTACAGTATATACATGTTGGGCTTTTTGGTTAGAGCTTGTAACTTAACATAAATAATGAACAATAATTGTACTAACAAGCAAGAGTGTAAAGTCACTGATACAATATAGTAACTACAAAAATAATTTGAGTATAATACATTTTATAGATAATAAAGCTAGATTTGGTAGGATGAGCCATAAAATGTTAATTTGAGCAAGGTTAAGTAAACTGCCATTTATTTATTTATTTTCAAAATTAATGTGTATATCTTAAAAGATCTGTTCCTAAAGCAGTCTGTTTGATCAGCTCTTGATTATAAAACAATATAATGAAATACAACACCACATAAATCATTTACTAGAGAGTAGAAGTACACCACTTACAACATTTCTAATCAAATTGCTGGGAAGATTGTTTATTGAACAAAGATTTAGATATTTTATGGACAACTTTAATTATTTGCAAGTTAAGACTGGCAATGCAATCTATAGTAGGTCCCCTACTTACAATACTTGCACTTTAGAACCAATTAATTACATGACTGCTACTCTTCAGTTATGGAAAATACTCTTAAATTATTTTTTGTAGTTTTCTTGGCTATTTTTCACCAAATTCATTTTTACTATGCCAGAGTAGTGTGAATAGTGGAGCAGAGAAGTCATACCACCACACACAAAAAGTGAAAAAAAAAAAAAATAATAATAATAATCTGCACTTAGTCAAGGAAACTTAAGTTTTGGCCCATCCTGTACCACTGTCAAATCAGAAATGAGCAAGAAGAAAAAAAACAGGCCAGATAGGATGGGAGAAGGAAGTAGGTAATAGCAGAATTAAGTTGTAATGGTGGTACTACTGTCTGACCCTTGTGGGTTTAGTACCTAGTTATGATTATAATGGTTCTAACAGCAGAATTAATGTGTAGTAATATGTTAGATCAAGAGAACATAGGAGACCTATGGGCATAGGGCAAAACTTGCCTGGAAAAAAACTTAGGACAACAGATAGTTATACGAGTAAAATGTCTCTCTCCTAGATGTGGGTTATTTGTGAAGAATGGAGTAATGTAGGATTGTGAAGCATGCTGAGTGGGTGGTGGAACAGTGTGATAGTGGAGTATGTTTTAATGTAGTACAGTAAGAAGGTGGAATATGGTGTAGGGCTGTAATGCCATGGAGGAAGTGGTGAGCATTGTCAGAGGGAGGGGAGGGAAAGTGATCGAGTACTATATTGTACAATGTTTTTAATTTCATTAAAAAATCAATTTAGAGTACGGAAAATTATAGGTCAGAAATGAATATCAAAATAGTATGCAATACCGACCAGTTGGTAAGAATCCACCTCTGATCATAACATGGATGTCTATGGACTAGGGCTCTGAATTCCAAACAATTTACAAATACACTCTTGAAAATTGTTCATAAGGATATAAGAAGAGTACCTACTGTGCAAGTCAAAATGATCATGCATATTAAATTTTAAAAACAAATGGAAAAAGATTAACAATATTTGAATTTGGAATCACAAATTCACATTAGTGCAAGATTTGTTGTCCATAAGAATATATGATTATTCATCAGTGTTGCTTACAATATTAAAATAAATTTGGAGCTCAGTAATTAGAAAAAATTACACATTACGTAAAACCTTCTGATTTAAAGTTCATCATGTCGATTAAGGCGATGGCACTTACAGTCCCCAAATCGCTTCTCATTTTCTTTGATCGGTATAAATTCCATACCTTCCCGCACATCCACCTTAGATTTAATCCGTGTGCTCCATTCCTGTTGGATAATATTCAAAATTTAATAAAGTATATACACTACAGTCTCCTCACTTAACGACGGAGTTCCGTTCCCAATACTGCATTGCTAAATGAATATGCCACTTAACGAGGAGCATACTATAATGGGAGTGGGTTTGTCAACCATCTTTTCATACTGCTTTGATGTCACCCTTGCACCATTTATAACATTTTTAGTATATTTTTAAATTTTTATACAGTAGTGTACTGTACAGTGGAACCTCAAATATCGAACTTAATCCATTCCAGGAGTTAGTTCTAATTTCAACAAGTCTGAAAAGCGAAGCAATATTTCCCATAAGAAATAATGGAAATACAATTAATCCGTTCCAGAAACCCAAAAATATTTACAAAAAAATACATTTTATAGAGATTAATTATAGTTTTACATACACAACAAATATAGTGTTCAATTATGTATTAATAGATTTAAATAAACATATAAAATAACATTTTATTTACCTTTATTGAAGATTGGTGATGGCATCTGGAAGACAGGGAAGAGGAGAGAGGGAGCTGGGGTTAGTATTTGGAAGGAGAATATCCCTCCATGAGGACTTAGGTATCACAGCCCTCTCTGGGGTTATCCCTCTCTTCTGTATTTTAATGCCACTAGGGCCAGCTTGAGTCACTGGACCCCTGTCTCTCAAAATAACTGTCCTAAAATGGGACATGGTTCTGTCACTGAACTTGTTGCAAAGATGGCTTGTTTTTAGCTTGCTCAGGGTGGTACTTCTCCACAAACATTTGGACATCATTCCATTTCTGTACTACTTCCTTCTTCACATCTATGGTGTTTCTCACTTTTTTTACCACAGGGGTACCACTAGCAAGTTTCTTTTGGCCCACTGTAGATTTCACAGTCCCACAAGCACTAAACATAATGAAATAATCGTAAAATGTTTGAATGAGAGTGCAGGTTAGTGTTCACTCAAGCATCAACAAACCAGACTGGCTCACGGCGCCTGCGTGGGGACGCGGACAGAGGGGGCTGCCGGACAGGTCCGGTACCCAGCGGTTCAAATTTAGGGGCGAGTTCGATAATAGGGACAAAGTTGGTTCGCAAAAAGGGTTCTATTTTCAAAGAGTTCAATAAGCGATACGTTCGAAATTTGAGGTTCCACTGTATATTGTAATAAACAGAATAGAGGAAATCAGCTCTAAATATACATTATTTAGGTATGCATACTGGTCAGAGAGCCCATTGTAAGTGAGTTGTTGGTAAACGAGTACGCCGCTAAGTGAGGAGGCTGTATTAAACATTTTTGATATTTTAACATAACCCTGTGAGAAGCCACCTCTCATTTTGAAGAAAGGGAAGAGACCAAGTAGGATACCATGAGTCATAGAAGCCAAGTAACAAGGAAGGATGTGACTAGAATACCATATAAGCTACTCTTGACTTTGTCAATGACAACTTTATTACACCAACTTTGATTATATTTTCCTGCTAGCACTCTCACTAACCTTACTGAGTCTGCTTCTTGCATACTCCTAGCCTCCCCTTCCCATCCTGTCTTCTGGTCTCCGCTGTTTCTCATCTCAGTTGTGATTTTACAATGGTTCAGGACAGATCAAAACATTTGAGAAGTAAAACTAAGCTCAGTTTTGGCTAGTCACAGAGGCCTTAGAAAATACACACCATTTCAGTTCTTTGAAGTCTAGTAAGACTCTTATATTTGATTTTTTTCCTTATTTGGGCTTGGTGGTAAGCAGGGGACCAAATGCTTTTAATCTGTTCATTATTGTTGGCATGGATATTCCAAAGATGACATTAAATACTGTGTATTAAATTATTTGAATAACAATAAATTAGTAAGATAAAAAAAAAGTGTTAAAATGTAAGGAATGAGTGAATGAATGCTGTTATTTAAATAATTTGTAGAAAAGCAAAAAAGTATATTTGCATACACTGCTGAATTATACAAAAAATTTACCTGGAGTAAGGTAACATGATAGCAATACACATCTTTTGGCATGAGATTTTCCTGCACATACTGCCTTCCATTTTGTGCAATTGCTTGTGCCTTCTTGTCATTAGTCCTTGCCCACTCAATCTGGAGGAAACAAGTTTATATAATCATCCGCAGTTTAACACTAGTAGTAGTAATAATACAGTAAACCCTCCATATAATGAACTTCAGAAATATGGAACAAAATTTGCTAGGCTATTTGATTTGGATACAACACAAAGTTCATTGGTTACAGAAGTGTCCATTACTGCTATGATCATGGCCAAACAGGGAGGGATGTGTGAAAGTTGAAAGGCTACGAATAAGTGAGAGGCAGGTGTGTAAAGTTAGGGATTAGTAAGGATGGGGCTAGTGCATGCATAATTGAAATCTAAGTTGATGTAATACATTATAGTTAAAAAGTCAAGAGTCTGCATGAAAGATGGAACTTTCAGAAATGAGGTCAGTGAGAATGTGTGAGGGTGGTTTAGATGTCAAAAGTAAATCCTGCGTGCACCCTGACAGGCATGACAACAGATCTAATATAAATCTTGGATGGATAAAGTGACATGACAGTCCTCAGAGTATTGCCAGTTGTTTCTCCATGTGATATCTGTGAGCAAATAGCATGTATTCAATATGTAAACCTGACGAGTGGAAGATAGCCAGAATCCTGAACGTGATTCGATAAGCAATTTGTTGTGGTCCAATGCAGGTAAACATTGTTGCCAACTGTTGCAAAGGTGGGGAGTGAGCAATGAAAAATAGAGTAAGAAATACCCCCCAATGGGAAATCTGAAGGTCTTGCATAGCTGACTGAGCAAATGAGTCTGCATGTTCATTGTCTTGAATATCAGCATGTCCAGAGACTCAGTATTATTACAATCATAACTAAGAGCTAAACCCACAAGATTATACAGTGCCAGAGACCCAGTAAAATAAGTCTGTGCTTTTCAGAAATGAGACAAAGCCAAAGTTGTATATCAAGAATGATGGGACAGTCAAATTTCTGGATAGTCTGTAACACTTTGAGAGTCTGAAAAGGTACAGTGGACATGGTCTCAAAGTAGATGATAGAGTGAGAATTGCACATAACTCCACTATGAAAATACTGGCCAATTTTAATAAATGACCTCTGATGACTCGTTCAAGAAAAACAGCTGCATACCCAACATCATTGGAGGATTTAGAACCATCACTGTATACTGTAACAGCATGAAAGTGAGATTAGAAGTGATCAAAAAAGAGTGAATGTACAGGTGTAGGAGGCCAGTAAGATTTTGCACATGGAAGCTGGGGAAGAGCAAACATGAATCATTTGAAATGTCACAAGGAGGGAGGGAAAAGTAAAATGTAGGGTGAATATAAATAGAAAAAAGATGTAATAAATAGAGGTGATAATTCAACAAATTAGCCCTAATGGACAGGTCATGTAAATGAATAATATAAGGGACACAGGTCTTAAGGATCGTGGAAGTGACATAACAGACAGTAGGCACTGCATCGATCTTGTAAAGGCAGGATATTTGCCTATGCACATAAGCGCTCAACTGGGGAAGATGAGAAAGCCCTAAGACAAATGCAACCCTTCCTCAAAGCACCCGAGTATCTTTATCTTCTATGTCATGATTATATCACTTCTGATACAGGGTATTTTATTCTTATTTTTTCTTTTAACACACTAGCCATCTCCCACCAAGGCAGGATGACCTGAAAAAGAAGAAACGAAAGTTTTTCATTTAGTAATTTATACAGAAGAGGTTAGCCCCTTGCTCCCAGCATTTTAGTCACCTCTAACAATACTCATGGCTACGTAAGGAAGGATTCTTCTCCACCTCCCCATGGAGTTAATTCTTTAATTTCTTTTTTTAATATGCTGACCATCTTCCACAGAGGCAGGGTGACCAGAAAAAGAAACATTCACACTATTACTGTCTTGCTAGAGGCACGCAGATACAACAGTTTGGAGGTCACTCTAAACAGCAATTATCCCAAATCCCTCCTGTACAGATTATTAAAAATAAGAACAAAACCATTCTTAAATATTATCAGAATTTAATTTAACCTTTCTGTCATTGCTCTTTGGCTTGAAAACTACATAGTCTGAGAGTAAGCCTTTCAACTTAACTCCAGGTTCCTCAGGATTAGTAGAGTATGCCCATGTGACTGGATTCTATTCTTAATGATTGGTCTTACCAACAGTGTACAGCATCACTAATGCACTTACCAGTACCTATTTGTAGCTACAGGAACAAAACTATCTTATCTTCAGTGTTTAATCAACATAAAATTTTTTTAATATCAGGCGGTTGTAAAACTTACCTTCTCTAGTATCTTGTTCAATTGTTCTACCACTGAAGAAAAACTTATTAATAACCTGAGAATTATTTTATTCTCACTTTATAAATGTGGCCTTTTCTCCCTGTTGATGGAGCACAAAAAGCTTCCTCATATGTTTTTATCCTTTTTTTTTTTTTTCAACAAGTCGGCCGTCTCCCACCGAGGCAGGGTGACCCAAAAAAGAAAGAAAATCCCCAAAAAGAAAATACTTTCATCATCATTCAACACTTTCACCACACTCACACATTATCACTGCTTTTACAGAGGTGCTCAGAATACAACAGTTTAGAAGCATATACGTATAAAAATACACAACATATCCCTCCAAACTGCCAATATCCCAAACCCCTCCTTTAAAGTGCAGGCATTGTACTTCCCATTTCCAGGACTCAAGTCCGACTATATGAAAATAACCGGTTTCCCTGAATCCCTTCACTAAATATTACCCTGCTCACACTCCAACAGATCGTCAGGTCCCAAGTATCATTCGTCTCCATTCACTCCTATCTAACACGCTCATGCACGCTTGCTGGAAGTCCAAGCCCCTTGCCCACAAAACCTCCTTTACCCCCTCTTTCCAACCCTTTCGAGGACGACCCCTACCCCTCCTTCCTTCCCCTATAGATTTATGTGCTTTCCATGTCATTCTACTTTGATCCATTCTCTCTAAATGACCAAACCACCTCAACAACCCCTCTTCTGCCCTCTGACTAATGCTTTTATTAACTCCACACCTTCTCCTAATTTCCACACTCCGAATTTTCTGCATAATATTTACACCACACATTGCCCTTAGACAGGACATCTCCACTGCCTCCAACCGTCTCCTCGCTGCTGCATTTACCACCCAGGCTTCACATCCATATGAGTGTTGGTACTACTATACTTTCATACATTCCCTACGCACCACTCACCTTTTTTCCCTCATCAATTCTATGATTAACCTCATCCTTCATAAACCCATCCGCCGACACGTCAACTCCCAAGTATCTGAAAACATTCACTTCTTCCATACTCCTCCTCCCCAATTTGATATCCAATTTTTCTTTATCTAAATCATTTGATACCCTCATCACCTTACTCTTTTCTATGTTTTCCTTTTATAGGTTTATATACTATATACATAGTTAGTTACCTTTTCTTTACTCACATCACCCACGGAGGGTATTTTCAACCTATTTGGGGGGAAGGGATTGGGGCTCTGGAAGCCATTCTGTTATTTGTCTTTGGACTATTACTATCTTATTCAAGCACTTTTTTTTTTTTTTTTTTTGGTTAATACAGCTATTCAAATTCCCTTTACCTATTTTTATGTAAAAAAAAAATTGAATGCTATACTACACATACACCAAAAAATCATAATGAAAAACATATTTTGTCAAACAGTGTGAAAGTGAATTAATGTACACCAAAGGCGTATTAAAAAAAAAAAAAAAAAAAAAAGGAGGGGGGTGTTACCTTTTCAATCAGGTTAGAGAGATCCCTCTTAAAAGGAATGAAGTGAACATAAGGCTCAAGGTCATTATAAAAGAATTCATAGTAAGGCGAGTCTTGCTTCAACACCACACTGCTCCCACCCAGCAGATATGGCAGACGATATGCTGCCACTGTACCATCAATGTTGATCTGGTATTTGTACTGTGGAAATGAACTTTAATTACAAGCTTGCATAAAATACTTATAAAAAGGGAATAAAAAATTGATAATTTATTTAAAAAGAAAAAAAAAAAAATGAAAAAATATTATGTACTGATGAACTAGTTTAAAATTACAGTATACTGTATTAAAAAATTAATATTTATATCAACAACAAGGAATGTTTTATAAGTTATTAATAAATATGGCAAGGGTTTATACAGTACTGTATTATGAAATAAAAGAGCAATTTAAGAAATTCATTAATTCACAATTTTAATGTTAAAAGGTCATAACTATGAGGCTTTCATAAATCAACTTATGAAAGTCAATGTGAAATATAATATACTGACAATATGTCTCTAATGTAAACATAAACAATGAAACAAAGCTGACTTATAGAATATATAGCAAACCTTTTTTCTCCATAAGTGTTCTGTGGGTAATTGAGCATAATTCAGTAACTATGAAAGTTTCCAAAAACAAAATTCACTGTAAAAAATATTTAATTAAATTCTGACTGAGCTAAATACATTAGTGTATACAGTACTCTGAAGTACTATCTATTACAATGTGTAACTTTAGGGAAAAATGATCTAGATGTGATGTTCTGTATTACAGGATCCCAATTATTACTAGCTATTCAATGACAAAAATCGTTTACCTATACATGTACTATTTCAAGAGCTTTTCTGCTATCACCGCACAACCTGAGGGGTCTTGCTGGTAACTACCTCATCACTCAAGCTATTGCTGCTTACCCATGCAGTTTTTTCTCTATATCCTTGACTTTTGATTCACTGGTAGAAGGGTGAAAGATCAAAACTCTATAATGAAAACAGAATTTCAACTACACTTATGATAACTTTTTTTTTTATTAAATTCATCTGACAGCTCCATATTTCAAAGTTAACATCTAGAAAGTACTATCCAACTAAATAATGCTATAATTTTCTTCAGGATATTGGCCAAAATACTAGGAACTATGCACATATAGCTAAAATAGCATGTATAGCTTAAAATACTTACATCAAAGAATTTAAAAAATGAGATATGTTTCTCCTTAGGTCCATATTCAACTTCTTGATCTTTAAAAAAGAAAAAGTTGGTAAGTGAAGCATTTATTAGATGCTCATGTTTCCTTGCTAAAGTGATAAGATCAAGCCTTTCCTGACGTGAATCACGGCCTCGCCAGAATGCCTGTGACTTCTTCTGCTCCCAAGGTATGTCATTGTTGGACTGGACAGACAATATGTCGAGACTGACTCTGCAAACCAATAATTTAACTATAGGGCTACATACGAGATACAACTAAGGTAAAATAACTTTATACTCTACACATAGAAGAAGAACTATCAAGAATATTATATTGTGAGGTGAATGCAAGAAAGAAAAATTACGGCAAAAATAGAAAAGAGAAAAATTACAAATTATATCAAATTACATAATTAGATTAAAGACAACAGAATATAGCAGCACAGGCACTGTCCACATATCTTCTTTGTGCCTCAGTGGATTCTTAGCAACCTGAGCAAATATTGTTAACCTCACCAAGGTACAATATGGAAATTCATTACAATTAGATGTTCATAACTGGTAATTATTATTTTCCAAGTTGTAATACACATTTTTTTTCAACACGTCAGCCGTCTCCCACCGAGGAAAGGTGACCCAAAAAAGAAACACTTTCACTATTATTCAACACTTTCACCATTATTCACACATGATCACTGTCCTTGCAGAGGTGCCCAGATGTGACAGTTTAGATGCAACTCCAAACAGCCAATATCCCAAACCCCTTCTTTCAAGTACAGGCATTGTACTTCCCACCTCCAGGACTCAAGTCCAGCTAATCAGTTTCCCTTAATGCCTTCATAAAATATTACCCTGCTCACACTTCAACAGCTCATCAGGTCCCAAAAAACATTTGTTTCCATTCAATCCTATCTAACATGCTCACATACTCCTGCTGAATGTCCAAGCCCCTTGTACACACAACCTCTTTTACCCCCCTCCCTGCATCCTTTCCTAGGATGATCCCTACCCCTCCTTCCCTCCACTACAGATTTAAACACCCTCAAAGTCATCCTATTTTGCTCCATTCTCTCTATGAAATGATGGGCAGTAGTATTAATTAGTTTAATTTTAAGTACCTGAGCCCTTATTCTGTGCAACTATGGCACATGTGAGAATAACTTAGCATTGTCAAGAAAACACTGAAACAAATAGCTAATTGTGAATCATGATCTGATTAAAACTGATGAAAGGAGAAGATAGCCCTTACATAAAAGTGATTTGATAATCAGAGTTATGAAATACAGATGACAATGCCAGTAGCCAACAATGCCATAGAGCATGAAGTACCTTCAGATCTCACATCTTATACAGAGTACTGAACACTGCAATCTCTTCACAAAATGTTACCTGGATCACATTCCAATAGCCTGTCAAGTCCCCAAAACTATTTGTCTCTACTAACTCCTAACATGCTTACACACACACACACACACACACACCTGATGGATGTCCACGCCCCTCATACAATGCGAACAAATACAAAGTAAACTGGAAAAGCTGAGTTGACATGACCTCCACTTGATGACCAGTGAAACATTAAAGAAAAAGATCATGATACAGCAGCATATTATACAATAAAAACAAAGGATTTTATAAGCAACATGAGAAATCAGTCCTTCATTCATGTTATCACATTCATGGGAAAGCACCAAACCTGTAAGTCATAAAGCACCTAAGGAAATGGGAAGCATTCAGGTTCGATCCAAGGAAAGGAAACGCAGGTCCTATTCCTTAAATGAAGAGCAACTCACTGGCATTGAGGAACCTCTCTGAGTAGTCCTTCATTAATAAATTGTGTGAACTGTGATAAGAAAAAGGAGAATCCATGCATGACAGTACTTCTATAAGTAATTAAAGTAGACATATCTACCTCCTATAATTATGATTTAGCTACATTTTGGACACAAAGTAATATCATTACCGAAGTCTTTTTCTTCTTTCTGATTACATTTTATTAAATTTGTCTTTCAGTACAAGTATGTTAATCTATTTTTCTTAAATTTGGAAACTAGACAAGATAAGAAAAATATCTGCTAACTGTACCTGCCCATCATCTCTAATGTAGCCTCGGTGATGTCATAGGTGGGCATAACAATGTCTGCAGTGTCTTCAGAACCACACCATGAGAAGATGGGTATAAGTGGCTTCAGCTGTTGCTCAAGAAAATAAAATTTTAGTTGCAGGCATTTAATCTTTACTTCCAATTAATGATATATACAATCTTAATTTTTAAATGAAGTAAAAAAAAAAAGAAATTAATTCACTTTATTAAAGAAAAGTCCTTGCACAAACACCTGTGGATACTGATCATTTATATATGAAAGTATATGATAATTTATGCCAGGAGCAAGGGGCTAGTAACCCTTTCTCCTGTATAAATTACCAAGTTTTAAAAGAGAAACTTTCGATTTTCTTTTTGGGTCACCCTGCCTCGGTGGGATACGGCCGGTTTGTTGAAAAAAAAAAATGGTAATTTCTATGTACAAGGACTTGAATGACTGGCAAAGTCTTGCTTGTATACATGGATGAGTGTACTGAGAGGGAGAAATTTGAAACAGTTTGTGTCAAGAATTTAGTAGTGTGTATCAGATGAAGCTCACTTTAATGGTGCTGTATGACCCTTTTGGGTTTGGCACTTAAATTTATCACAATAATCTATTTATTGGTTCTCCAAATCTGTCAGATTCATGTTTTGATAAAATGGGGTGTAAATAAAGGTAAATAGGATTTGAAGGATGTCTACAGAATAAGTAGATTCCTACAATTACCATATTAGGTCAGGACCTGAACCTCTTCTTATAGTATATACTTTTTTGTTAAGATAGAATCAAAGCCAAGAAAATAATTATACGGTTAAAAAAAAAAACTGTAGTTGTTGTACATAATAACAGGATTGCTGGTGTCTTTTCTTTCTGTCTTGTAAGCACATACGATAAAAGGCACATCGTGCTACTTTATTTACATCTAGTTCATACTACACATGCAGCTGTACATGTATGTGTCTACACACTCATCTGAGTAGTCTTCTAATCTCTTACTAATACTTGTTCTTATAGTGTTTCCTTTCATATTCGGGGGAAAGTGGGTAAGAATTCTTCCTCTAAGTCATACATTTTATAAAAGTCGACCAAAATCCCGTGAGCAAGATGCTAGTAACCCCTTCTGTATAAATTACTAAAAAGACAAAGAAGAAAACTTTAAAAATGGGTTGTATGAATGTGCACAGTTGTAGCATGGATGTGAAGAAAGAAGTAATTGTGCAACTTATGAAAAGAAACTAGATATCCTAGCTCTATGCGAAATAAAGTTAAAGGGGGTAAGAGAAGTTCGGTGGGGAGGTGTAAATGGGATTAAGTCAGGTGTATCTGAGCGTATTGGAGCTAGGGAAGGAATAGTGGCAATATTAAATGGTCAATTATGGAAATACATGAGGGAATATAATTGTATATATTCAAGGAATATACTGTATATAATACTGTCAAGGAGTGGAAAAAGACAAAATGCAATCACTTTAGGTGAGATCTAACATATGTTCATTTCTCATAAACATACATATACTAAGGTCTCCATGGAAATGTGGAAAAGAATTCTTCCGTAAGACATACATGTCGTATGAGGCGACTAAAATGCTGGGAGCAAGAGACTAGTAACCCCTTCTCCTGTATAAATTACCAAATGTGAAAAGAAAGACTTCTGTTCTTCTTTTTGGGTCACCCTACTGTGGTGGGATACGGCCAGTGTGTTAAAAAAAATATATATACTACTAGTGATTGCATTTCTGTCTTTTTCTGCTAATAATATTTATTTGTATTGTTAACCCAAGGCCCTTTGGTCCTTTGTCCCAAGATGACCCACAACAGCTGGCTAACACCAAATAAGTTATTTACTGCTAGGTGAATGGTGACAACAGTGTTAGGAAGTACAGTGGACCCCCGCATAACGATGGCATCGCATAGCGATTTTTCCGCATAACGATTACTTTTATCGCAAAATTTTTGCCCCGCATACCGATTAAAAACCCGCATACCGATTTTCGTCCGAGACGCGTCCAATGTGCCCTCACATGTGCCGGCCGTCCCATTGTTTACCAGCCAGCCTCCGCGGTAACATCCAAGGATACACTCGGAATATTTCGTATTATTACAGTGTTTTCGGTGGTGTTTCTGGAAAATAAGTGACCATGGGCCCCAAGAAAGCTTCTAGTGCCAACCCTGTGGTAAAAAGGGTGAGAATTAGTATGGAAATTAAGAAAGATTTTGAAGGGTTTGGGGCTAACCCTGAGAAGCCTATGCCAGTTGTGGAATCCATTGTGCCTACTTCAAAGATTAAGGAAATGTGTGCAGAGTGGTTTGAACTGCAAACCTTTATAGATGAAAATCACCCTGACACAGCTGTTGCAAGCCGTGCTTGTGACTATTTCAATGACAATGTTATGGCCCATTTTAGGAAAGTCTTGAAGAAACGGGAGGTACAGAGCTCTATGGACAGATTTGTTGTGCGACAGAGGTCCAGTGACTCTGAAGCTGGTCCTAGTGGCATTTAAAAGAAGAAGGGAAGTAACCCCAGAAAAGGACTTGCTACCTCAAGTCCTAATGGAAGGGGATTCCCCTTCAAAACAGTAAAAAGATAATGCTCTCCCCTCCTCCCATCCCATCAATCATCACCAGATCTTCAATAAAAGTAAGTGTCATGTAATTGTGCATGCCTTTTTCAGTTTGTGTGTATTAAAATTAACATTTCATGTGGTAAAAAAAATTTTTTTTCATACTTTTGGGCGTCTTGCACGGATTAATTTTATTTCCATTATTTCTTATGGGGAAAATTAATTCGCATAACGATTATTTCGCATAACGATGAGCCCTCTTGCACGGATTAAAATCGTTAACCGGGGGTCCACTGTATATATAACTTCACCACCTGCCCCAGGACCGAACACTGGTCCTTCAGTAGTGAGGTGAAGGTGCTACCAATGATAATAAATCTACAAGGAGGGAAGAAGGGAAAGAAGGAAGGAAGGATAGAGAAAGCCAAGAAAAGAAAGATCATAAAAACAGAAGGATGGGTAAATGGAAATTGTTGGTTGCAGTTTGGCTAAATGATGATTTTCTTAATATTTTTTCTTAATAAACCTAAGGTAGTAGGTTGGTAGACAGCAACCGCCCAGGGAGGTACTACCGTCCTGCCAAGTGAGTGTAAAACGAAAGCCTGTAATTGTTTTACATGATGGTAGGATTGCTGGTGTCCTTTTTTCTGTCTCATGAACATGCAAGATTTCAGGTATGTCTTGCTACTTCTACTTACACTTAGGTCACACTACACATACATGTACAAGCACATATATACACACCCCTCTGGGTTTTCTTCTATTTTCTTTCTAGTTCTTATTCTTGTTTATTTCCTCTTATCTCCACAGGGAAGTGGAACAGAATTCTTCCTCCGTAAGCCATGCGTGTTGTAAGAGGCGACTAAAATGCCGGGAGCAAGGGGCTAGTAACCCCTTCTCCTGTATTAATTACTGAATTTGAAAAGAGAAACTTTTGTTTTTCTTTTTGGGCAACCCTGCCTCGGTGGGATATGGCCAGTTTGCTGAAAAAAAAAAAAAGTTTCAAATTTCATCATTATACTGACTCAAAAATTGTGCAGATGGTTGTAAATCCACAGCAGCAAGCCAGTGGAGGAGAAAGGAGTGATGAAAATGAGAAAGATGTAGCAGAGTCTCTATTGATAGGTTAATTAAGTGTATTTTAACCTAACCACTCTGTAATCCAGCACACTACAGGTCCCAATGATGCCGGATTAGTGATGGCCAACCTGTAGCATATGATTTAACAATTTTTTCATGTAACTGTGCTTTAATAAGATAAGACAAAATAATTATTTCCCAAGAAGATACAATATTTACAATTGTAGGTTGCTGTATATTTCTTACACAGAAAAAACCTACAGTTTTGCCTAAAATTTTGGGTAGCCATAAGTTAGGACCAATACTAACAATATAGAAATAAAAAAAATATTAGTGAAACATATAAGTGAACAGTATTTAGATAAGGCTAAAGAGGTCTTTGTGGCATTTATGGATTTGGAAAAGGCGTATGACAAGGTGGATAGGGGGGCAATGTGGCAGATGTTGCAGGTGTATGGTGTAGGAGGTAGGTTACTGAAAGCAGTGAAGAGTTTTTACAAGGATAGTAAGGCTCAAGTTAGAGTATGTAGGAAAGAGGGAAATTATTTCCCAGTAAAAGTAGGCCTTAGACAGGGATGTGTGATGTCACCGTGGTTGTTTAATATATTTATAGATGGGGTTGTAAGAGAAGTAAATGCAAGGGTCTTGGCAAGAGGTGTGGAGTTAAAAGATAAAGAATCACACATAAAGTAGTAGGTTGGTAGACAGCAACCACCAAGGGAAGTACTACCATCCTGCCAGATGACTGTGGAACAGAAACCTGTAACTGTATTGCATGATGGTAGGATTGCTGGTTTCTTTTTCTGTCTCATAAACACGCTAGATAGCAGGGATATCTTGCTACTCCTACTTACACTTTGGTCACACTTCACAGACAAGCACATGCATATACATACATCTAGGTTTTTCTCCTTTTTCTAAATAGCTCTTGTTCTTCTTTATTTCTTCTATTGTCCATGGGGAAGTGGAAAAGAATCTTTCCTCCGTAAGCCATGAGTGTCGTATGAGGCGACTAAAATGCCAGGAGCAATGGGCTAGTAACCCCTTCTCCTGTAGACATTTACTAAAAAAGAGAAGAAAAACTTTATAAAACTGGGATGCTTGAATGTGCGTTGATGTAGTGCGGATGACAAGAAACAGATGGTTGCTGATGTTATGAATGAAAAGAAGTTGGATGTCCTGGCCCTAAGCGAAACAAAGCTGAAGGGGGTAGGGGAGTTTCGATGGGGGGAAATAAATGGGATTAAATCTGGAGTATCTGAGAGAGTTAGAGCAAAGAAAGGGGTAGCAGTAATGTTGAAGGATCAGTTATGGAAGGAGAAAAGAGAACATAAATGTGTAAATTCAAGAATTATGTGGATTAAAGTAAAGGTTGGATGCGAAAAGTGGGTCATAATAAGCGTGTATGCACCTGGAGAAAGAGAGGAATGTAGAGGAGAGAGAGAGAGATTTTGGGAGATGTTAAGTGAATGTATAGGAGCCTTTGAACCAAGTGAGAGAGTAATTGTGGTAGGGGACCTGAATGCTAAAATAGGAGAAACTTTTAGAGAGGGTGTGGTAGGTAAGTTTGGGGTGCCAGGTGTAAATGATAATGGGAGCCCTTTGATTGAACTTTGTATAGAAAGGGGTTTAGTTATAGGTAATACATATTTTAAGAAAAAGAGGATAAATAAGTATACAAGATATGATGTAGGGCGAAATAACAGTAGTTTGTTGGATTATGTATTGGTAGATAAAAGACTGTTGAGTAGACTTCAGGATGTACATGTTTATAGAGGGGCCACAGATATATCAGATCACTTTCTAGTTGTAGCTACACTGAGAGTAAAAGGTATATGGGATACAAGGAGAATAGAAGCATCAGAGAAGAGAGAGGTGAAGGTTTATAAACTAAAAGAGGAGGCAGTTAGGGTAAGATATAAACAGCTATTGGAGGATAGATGGGCTAATGAGAGCATAGGCAATGGGGTCGAAGAGGTATGGGGTAGGTTTAAAAATGTAGTGTTAGAGTGTTCAGCAGAAGTTTGTGGTTACAGGAAAGTGGGTGCGGGAGGGAAGAGGAGCGATTGGTGGAATGATGATGTAAAGTAGTAAGGGAGAAAAAGTTAGCATATGAGAAGTTTTTACAAAGTAGAAGTGATGCAAGGAGGGAAGAGTATATGGAGAAAAAGAGAGAGGTTAAGAGAGTGGTGAAGCAATGTAAAAAGAGAGCAAATGAGAGAGTGGGTGAGATGTTATCAACAAATTTTGTTGAAAATAAGAAAAAGTTTTGGAGTGAGATTAACAAGTTAAGGAAGCCTAGAGAACAAATGGATTTGTAAGTTAAAAATAGGAGAGGAGAGTTATTAAATGGAGAGTTAGAGGTATTGGGAAGATGGAGGGAATATTTTGAGGAACTGTTAAATGTTGATGAAGATAGGGAAGCTGTGATTTTGTGTATAGGGCAAGGAGGAATAACATCTTGTAGGAGTGAGGAAGAGCCAGTTGTGAGTGTGGGGAAGTTCGGGAGGCAGTAGGTAAAATGAAAGGGGGTAAGGCAGCCGGGATTGATGGGATAAAGATAGAAATGTTAAAAGCAGGTGGGGATATAGTTTTGGAGTGGTTGGTGCAGTTATTTAATAAATGTATGGAAGAGGGTAAGGTACCTAGGGATTGGCAGAGAGCATGCATAGTTCCTTTGTATAAAGGCAAAGGGGACAAAAGAGAGTGCAAACATTATAGGGGAATAAGTCTGTTGAGTATACCTGGTAAAGTGTATGGTAGAGTTATTATTGAAAGAATTAAGAGTAAGGCAGAGAATAGGATAGCAGATGAACAAGGAGGCTTTAGGAAAGGTAGGGGGGTGTGTGGACCAGGTGTTTAGAGTGAAACATATAAGTGAACAGTATTTAGATAAGGCTAAAGAGGTCTTTGTGGCATTTATGGATTTGGAAAAGGTGTATTACAGGGTGGATAGGGGGGCAATGTGGCAGATGTTGCAGGTGTATGGTGTAGGAGGTAGGTTACTGAAAGCAGTGAAGAGTTTTTACGAGGATAGTGAGGCTCAAGTTAGAGTATGTAGGAAAGAGGGAAATTATTTCCCAGTAAAAGTAGGCCTTAGACAAGGATGCATGATGTCACCGTGGTTGTTGAGGTGGTTCGGACATGTAGAGAGAATGGAGCGAAACAGAATGACTTCAAGAGTGTATCAGTCTGTAGTGGAAGGAAGGCGGGGTAGGGGTCGGCCTAGGAAGGGTTGGAGGGAGGGGGTAAAGGAGGTTTTGTGTGCGAGGGGCTTGGACTTCCAGCAGGCATGCGTGAGCGTGTTTGATAGGAGTGAATGGAGACAAATGGTTTTTAATACTTGACGTGCTGTTGGAGTGTGAGCAAAGTAACATTTATGAAGGGATTCAGGGAAACCGGCAGGCCGGACTTGAGTCCTGGAGATGGGAAGTACAGTGCCTGCACTCTGAAGGAGGGGTGTTAATGTTGCAGTTTAAAAACTGTAGTGTAAAGCACCCTTCTGGCAAGACAGTGATGGAGTGAATGATGGTGAAAGTTTTTCTTTTTCGGGCCACCCTGCCTTGGTGGGAATCGGCCGGTGTGATAATAAAAAAAAATAAAAAAATAAGATGGGGTTGTAAGAGAAGTAAATGCGAGAGTCTTGGCAAGAGGCGTGGAGTTAAAAGATAAAGAATCACACATAAAGTGGGAGTTGTCACAGTTGCTCTTTGCTGATGACACCGTGCTCTTGGGAGATTCTGAAGAGAAGTTGCAGAGATTTGTTAATGAATTTGGTAGGGTGTGCAAAAGAAGAAAATTAAAAGTGAATACAGGAAAGAGTAAGGTTATGAGGATAACAAAAAGATTAGGTGATGAAAGATTGGATATCAGATTGGAGGGAGAGAGTATGGAGGAGGTGAATGTATTCAGATATTTGGGAGTGGACGTGTCAGCGGATGGGTCTATGAAAGATGAGGTGAATCATAGAATTGATGAGGGGAAAAGGGTGAGTGGTGCACTTTGGAGTCTGTGGAGACAAAGAACTTTGTCCTTGGAGGCAAAGAGGGGAATGTATGAGAGTATAGTTTTACCAACGGGTGTGAAGCATGGGTGATGAATGTTGCAGCGAGGAGAAGGCTGGAGGCAGTGGAGATATGTCTGAGGGCAATGTGTGGTGTGAATATAATGCAGAGAATTCGTAGTTTGGAAGTTAGGAGGAGGTGCGGGATTACCAAAACTGTTGTCCAGAGGGCTGAGGAAGGGTTGTTGAGGTGGTTCGGACATGTAGAGAGAATGGAGTGAAACAGAGTGACTTCAAGAGTGTATCAGTCTGTAGTGGAAGGAAGGCAGGGTAGGGGTCGGCCTAGGAAAGGTTGGAGGGAGGGGGTAAAGGAGGTTTTGTGTGCAAGGGGTTTGGACTTCCAGCAGGCATGCATGAGCGTGTTTGATAGGAGTGAATGGAGACAAATGGTTTTTAATACTTGACGTGCTGTTGGAGTGTGAGCAAAGTAACATTTATGAAGGGGTTCAGGGAAACCGGCAGGCCGGACTCGAGTCCTGGAGATGGGAAGTGCAGTGCCTGCACTCTGGAGGAGGGGTGTTAATGTTGCAGTTTAAAATCTGTAGTGTAAAGCACCCTTCTGGCAAGACAGTGATGGAGTGAATGATGGTGAAAGTTTTCTTTTTCGGGCCACCCTGCCTTGGTGGGAATCGGCCAGTGTGATAAAAAAAAAAAATGTATATAAAGTGTATACACTAAATACAGAGAATTCCTAACATTGTAATGCAAATTTTAATAAAAATTAAGCATTTAGTAAGACAGTCAAGTAAGGTTAATTGACTCTCGAAATCGTAATGACACGATTGCAAACAAACCATACCACGGGCTAGCTGGTCCAGTGGCTAACACAACGGTCTGGAGTTTTGAGACTCTCTGATCGCGGGTTCTATCCCCGCCCGTGGTATGGTAAGGTTAAATTTAGATGTGTGTTTTGCTGCCAACCAGATGAATTCCAGTTTTCCCATATTACTTTATAAATATATAGTATATAGCCACATATAAGCAGGAATACATACATTACACATTTATAATTTGTTTTCCAGTATTAAAATGAACAATGCCAAAGCATACCTTTGGATTTACAAGTGGCCAATCACCCAAATTGATGATAAACTCAACATCAGGTATGGACATCTTTCTGAGCAAGGAATGAAGAATGTTGTCCATGAACATATTGAAACCAACGTGCTGACCATAGCACTTACGATAAACCTGTAAAAAAGAAAAAAGTAAAGGTTTGCAAGACTTACACTAATGTACTTATCAAAACTGATATAGATAACGCATGTTCTTACCTGTAAAAAGTGGGCTAAAAATAAATAGAAAAAACATAAATGGCATCTGTGCACACATAATAGTAGATGAAGTATACCACAAACTTCCTTGATACTTTGACAGATGAAGTAGAATGTCCACTGCTGAAGGTATGCAATTGAGGGAAGGAAAAAAAGTGCATGGAAAATATATGGTAAAATTTTGAAAAATTTTTAAGGATAAAAGGAGAGATTGTATAATAATGTGCTCCTCCTTATCTTGACATATGGAAACATGGGCATGGAACAAGACAGATAAATCTATTTATGAAGTACAGTATTTTATAATTCCTTGGATCAAAAGCCAACAAACTATAAGGTAAGAACAGTGGTACAGTATGCATTAATAAAATTCCAGAGGATCTAGGGAGCTATATAAGAAAACAGAAAGCTATATTATAATGGAGGCCTACAAGACAGAACTATTAATTATGCTCATACCAATGATACTGGAAAAACTAAAAAAACAAAAACACTAACTTTGTCATCTTTTATTACATAGTTACAAAAGCTTCGAGACCCTGCTTGGTTGAATCTTTTAATAGCTTCTTTGAGAACAATTTCAAAATCCACATCATGGAAATTTTTGAGATCTTGATTAATTTGTGGATAGGAAGATGGACACCCAGCCAGTTCCTGCCATTTAACGATGTCTCCCACTGGACAATAACAGTCTTCAGAATAGACAGGATCTAAAAGCAAGATACAGAACTGTATAAACATCCCTGTAGTCAAAATACTAATACATGTACTTAAAATTAACCACAGACTTACATGAAATATTTCTAATTTAACTGACTCATCGCTTTTAATATAAAATGCATGTCAAGAAAACAGGTCAATGTGAAAGGGCACTTTAAAGGTAGTCTGAAAAACACAATAAGGGACTCTTAAAGGAAATAATAATGAATTAACAATTTGTAAAGAACTTACGTAAAATTTTATATGGAGACTCTGCAACATGTTGATTATTGTACAAGATATGAATAGTTAGGTCTCTACACGTCTGGTAGGTGCGATATCTGAAATGGCAATTTAAAATGTTTGTAATAATGAAAACTATTAAACTGCAGAGGTCAACAAGAAGAAGGATGCTTATAAACTAGTTAACACTACCAGTGATGGATGAACATATGCATGAAACATATTACTTTATCTCTTAGCCTCTTGCCAAATTCTAAATAGTATTTTTGTACATGAATAGTTCTGTTATTCTTGTACATACCAATACGTACTACAGCACTTACTGTATCAAATACTGTCTAGTCACAAATAATCTGCACACAGAAGAGGAGGAAACCTTTGAAGTCATTTTGGTCCATCCTGGAAGACTGACAATGATCCAGACTGGACCTAAACAGCCATACAATTCCTCTCTTAAGTGCGGATTATCTGTAAATTGTTCCAGCAGCAACATTATGATATTTATTCTTTAAATACTGCCAATGCATGTGCATATATGCACACTGAAAAGATCTGACTGAGAAATGGATCTGGGAGAATTAGCAATAAATTGTTGCCAGGATCACATAAATGCAGTAGTGATAAACTAGTACATACAGTAGGGCCCCACTTACACGGCAGGTTAAGTTCCAGGCTACCGCCGTAAAGCAGGGCCCTACTGTACTTCATGCTGGCAAAACCTAGAAGTAAAGTGACAACTTTTAAATATAAAGATGATGAAATGCTAAAAACACTATTTACAATGTTTATTAAACCAAAACTGTAACAAAAATTGGTTTTCAATATGTTCAACATTACGTATTACAGTATTAAGTAACATATATTTCATACATTTTGAGAAAACCCCTGGTTATGCAAAACATTTCTGGCATGTTAAAACTAGAACTTAAAGTTACTTGACATTACAATAAATAGTCGAATAGATGTAGATTATTTGAATAAGTTTAATATAATTAAATTTAAGTTTATTAAATGTAATGATAATTTTTAGTAATAAAACTATACATTAAAATAGCAATGTTAATATGAAGAAAGCAATATAAAATTGTACTGACTATTTTAGTTCTAATAATTAGCAGGGAAGAAATGTAACAGTGGCAATAAGTGTACGAGTATAATACCGGATAAGCAGATTACATTAAGTACGCAGTATGACGTTCATCTTTGATCTAAATCAGTTTGTATCAAATTCAGATTTTTATTTTTAACAATATTTTTGAAATTCTGTGTGCATATTTTCCATAATTCTAAACAATCAACTACATAGGAAGATTTGCAAGTTACCATCATATTCTACACCAGTCCTCAAGTTCTAAAAGCTAGAAATCTAACTCCTAGCTAGCCCCCAGTGGGTTCTAGTACCAATTTCATGGCTCATGAATCTGGTGAAGTTAGCAGATAGGGAACTTTTAGAATCTTATGGTTCAGTTTCTTATTTCTGGACCTTATATTTGTATGGAGCTTCTATTCAGGTGAGCTGAATCCACGGGATATCAAAGGGATATTTTTTATTGTCTATGCTCTCTGTTGTAATTCTCCAAAGTAGTTAGAGAACGGTTATGCTAACAGGTTTAATTAAACCTGAGTGCATAATATGGATGTGTAAAATTCTTTATTAGCTTGGTGAGCATTGATGTACTATATACCTCTTTGCTAGTTCTGTATATTTTTCATAGTAATGCTTCTTGTAAATGGATCTAAAGATACTGTTGGTTAGCCAAGGGCTATTTAGTTTTTTTGTTGTGACAAGTTCGGTTTTTAAAAGACAACATTTACTGCAGAGGTTTTGAACTTTTTGTAGGTATATATGGACAAGTGATTTTATGTTTTATGTCTTGAATGTTGTTAAAATCTCTATTGTAAACTTGTTCACCAATGCCTCATCACTGACCCCAAATAAGATTTTATTAGTTTCAAGTGATAATTTGGTGATTAGGAAGTGGAGACGTAATCAGCAGTACATTGTGTACATCTAAATATGAACAGTAAAAGCAATGCATGCTACAATATGGATCCCAATGATAGCCACATAAAGAATAAGTGGAAACAAAAAATATCTTTTTAACACCATCAGCAGGGAGAAAAGATGCAACAACTGCAAACAAAAAAATGTGACAACAGTACTAAAAAGCATTTGTTAGGTGTAAATTGATGGATTGGGTTCCAAGACTAGGCATGTAGTACAAAAATTTTAAATTTTACATGACAAATTACACTCTGAAAGTCGGAAAACTTGAACATAACTATTTTAACTACAAACAGGTACCATAATCACAAGAGTACAAGATAAAAAATAGACTTACAAGGAGTACACACAGATTTAAGAGGAAAATGTATTAAAAGTTGATTTACTACAGTATAAACTGAAAATTACATTGCATTACCTGGCAATATATGATCCATCAAATCGATCAAGAACTTGTGTCCATTTTCGACAGTATATTCCATGACTGGTCTCTCCTTCTATCTGCACAGTAATGGAATTCCCAACAGATTTTTGGATTCTGTCATTAAAAAATATATGCATATCAGTTAAACCATATAGTAAACAAACTGCTGTCCTACTTTACCCCTAGTTCCAGATACTGTTAAAATACAGAGCATATAAATTATAATTTACTAATAAAAAGAACAGATAAAATCATTAACTTAAAGGAAAACTAGTATTACATGTTGTTAAATTATTTAATCTTTCAAGGAGTAACTTTAATGCTGGTAAAGGACTCTTAATCCAAGGATTTGTAACTATTCTCCCCTACCTGAAATCAAACACCTGCCAGTAGGGTAGAGGATACTAACTGAGGGAGAAGGGTGATGGGAGCCTTACTATGGGAGGTGGGAGTCTAACTGTGAGAGTAGGGTGGTAGGAGCCTTACTATGTAAGGAGGGTGTTGGGTATCTCACTGAAGGCAGAGGGTAGTGTGAGCCATACTGTGGGTGATGGGAGCTACACTATGGATGGAAACTACTACAGACATACTTAGGGATTTAAATCACATCCTGAGCCACTACACTTATATGTATATTAAGTTGGAAAAGCTATGTTATGCAGTGTTATGTGGTACCTTGACAATAGTATGGAAAAAAAGCTAGTTTATGGAGTATTATGAGTAGTGATAATAGCTCCTTGACTCCAATGAATACAAGCCCTACACTAAATCTACATAATCTTACTTTTATGAACCCATAACTGTATGTTCTCAAGAAAACTACATAGAAAATGCATGCTATGTGCCCAAAGCTTAGTAGATAAGCAAGTGTATTCAGGTACAGGTACACAAATAGTTGCATAAATTATCATATATAGCAGTATGTATGTAAATTACCTAGGATAACCCAAAAAAGAGTGAGACTAAGTGACTTATTTCCACTGGGGGTCCTTGTCCTTAAATAAAAATTGAGCCACGGTGGCTGGTGTAAATGAAGAAGGTTCCTCAGTGGAAATTGGATGTTTTATATTTTACGATATGTACAAGCTATCTACACAACGAAATAAACATATGAGACTAAATATATTTCTTGGGTGGGAGATATTCGTGAAAATATACATTTTATCTCACGAGGGGTGTCAGACTCAGTACTGCAACCTGGCCAATCACAGCTAATGACAATAAAGACCAATGGCTAAGTAAGGTTAAGTTACTATGATTATTGTTATAATCAAATCTAAGCGCTAAACACACAAGAGCATCCAGTGGGTTAAGTTAGGTTCGACTATTTTAAGTGGATGTGTAACGTTCCAGTCACGGTATTGTGCCTTTTTTTATTTTAAGTGGATGTGTTTAGTCATTTGAACATCTACACAAAATTATAATGTTGTGTAGATGTTAAATTGTGATCCACACAATATTGTACAATTTAAAATATATTTCATGGCCGAGGAGCAACGTTGAATTACTACCTTCCACGGCCACCGTGACACCATCATCAACCATACATTATTTATTCCTCGAATCAATGACATGATTAAACTAGCGTCTAGGATTATTAAACTAGTGGAAAATCATGTTCCCAGGTCTAATTCTGCACATCTTGCTATATAAAACTACTGTAAAAGTGAAAAATTATATAAGATGCTTGAACATCCACTTGAGGCGTCCCTTACCCACGCCCACGTAGTTCATTAACACCAGTAAGTACACTCTAATGTTCTACTTGCAAACAATACATCTTTGTGATGAATAAAACTACTGAAGTCCCATTCATAATAATAAACTGTGATTAAACAATGTAATTCATCATATATCTATATACAGTATTGTTACAGGTGCCAAGACTCCTACCTGTTGCCTTCTATATCATACAACTCTATGAAGAAATATCGTACTGGGTACACAATTTGATCTGGTTGTAAGCCTGGTCCATATACTTTAGTTTTCTTCAAGTCAACCTCTAATTCACTTCCTCCATTTACGTGACACAGCACACTAAGAAAGAATAAAACGCCCGCCTTCATTTTATACTGTTGTTGAAAGTGTCTTGCAGCCTCACACTCGTTGTGGGATGTGACTGTTGGACACATTTTCTCTCTGGCCCAGGGGAGACTACACTACTTGTAAAGAACCACTCAAACTGTCGCAGGTACAGGTACACATAAGCATAATTATTCACATAGTTGAACATATGTATTAATTACCTAGGATAACCCCCCAAAAAAGTCAGGCAAAGTTATTTATTTCCATTACAGTTCTTGTTATTTCCTACTGAAGACAATCTTCATTAGGATTAAATTAGATGATTCGGATCCTTACACAAGTTTAGACTCTACAATTGTAGTATATAGTAATATATGTGTAAAGTACCAAAGAATCCAATAGTCAAACCAAGTAACTAGGTTCCGTTTTAGTACTTGTTTAGTTGGGCTTAAAGCCTATCGACTATAGTGTTATTAAGGCTGCATATGACCTGTTCACCAGTCAATGATACCCAAATCATAAAAAAACAGGAATTAAACTAAATTCTTAGTAACTATACACTGAGCTTACACCTCCCGGTACAGGCTTAGTGTACGCTAAACCCATGTGGGTCGTATAGCGCCTGGGGAATGGGAGGTATCTGGGTTCTGTTCAAGAGGATGTCTAGTTCCTTAGATCCAGAGCCCATCACCAGCAACAAGGCATCTCCCTTGAGTAGACTGTATTCGAATTATTAACGTTGTAGCTTAAAGGGGAAGTGATATGATCATTATTATATTTATTTTTTGCCAAACCAGTGTGTCAACAGTGCTGTGGGTATGGGCTAGTGGTGGGAGTTTGAGCGAGTGTAAAACGAAAGCCATGGTGCCATAGGTCAGTTTCTTGATTGGCTGTGGCTAGAGGGAAAGGGGGTTGGTTTGACGTGGGGGGGGGGGCACGATGCATGGCTTGATGGGGCGGGGCATAATGAGGCGAGGCTTAATAAAGAGTAACATGATGGAGTGACTTCACAGGAACGTGGTTGGATAGGATATGGCTTGATAGGATTGTGGCTAGATGAGGTATGGCTTGATAGGGTCGTGGCTAGATGAGGTATGGTTTGATAGGGTCGTGGCTAGATGAGGTATGGATTGATAGGGGCGTGGCTCGATGGGGTATGGCTTGATAGGGGCTGAGGCTAGATGAGGTATGGCTTAATAGGGGCGTGGCTTGATAGGAGCGTGGCTAGATGCAGTATGACTTGATGCGGGCGTGATAGGATGCACTAAACATTGGAGGGATCATTTAACAACTATTTTTTTGAGTCTCACTTAAATAAGCTCAATGAAAAATATATCCACACTGCACCTGTAACTCAAAGACCCCAATGGAAATAAGTCACTTTGACTTTTTGGGGGGTTATCCTAGGTAAGTAAGTAAGTAAGTTTATTCAGGTATACACAAATACAGTTACATAGATTATCATACATAGCTGCATATGTGTAGAGAACCTGGGATAACCCAAAAAAGTCAGACAGAGTGACTTATTTCCATTGAGGTCCTTTTACTTATTATTATAATATAAAGGTTATAATATCTTATTATTATTCTATAATATAGAAAACATCTTATTATCATACTAAAAAGACTATCTACTGCACGAGGGTCATTAAGACTATCTACAATACGAGGGTTATTACTAGGAATAAGGTAAAATTACACGTGTGTTAGCCAAAAAATAAAAAATCATTCCCCTCCTTTTCTGTAGCTACATTCATCAGACACCTTTTGGCTCTCTTCTTGAACTGGTTCATGCTATGACTGGATTTGACATGTGCGGGCAGTCTGTTCCATTCCTTTATTGCTGTACAATAAAAGGTGTTTGAAGCCTGGCCACTGACTGTGGGTACTACAAAGTTGTGCTCTCTCCCCCTAGTCTAGTACTATGATTGCTTTGGTTCCCAACCTTGACAAAATTGGCAGCAAGATATTCTGGACACTGTTTGTGATCAATTTTATAAACATGATTTAGCTTCAGTTGTTTTACTCTATCCAACTTCTGTAATTCATTCTGGCCTACATGCTCTCTTGGACCCAGATCCAGGATGAATTTTACTATTTTGTTCTGGGTCGATTTGCAGTCTATTTTTTCATTTTTTTGTCAAGGCAGAGTACCATGAAGAGCAAGCGTAATCCATATGACATTGTATAAGGGCTAGACATAGGGTCCTGCGAGCCTCAGTAGGTAGACACTGTGCTTGTCTGTAGAGGAACTTCAGTCTGGCATTTGCTTTCTTTACTACACTGTTCCCTATCAATTCTCCTGACATGCATAGGTCAAAGGGGATTCCCAGATATTTTACTGAGGAAACTGAAGTGATGGGCTCCCCATTACACTGGACATTAAAATTATTTACCCTTCTCAGTTTATGTTTCGTGCCAAAGAGAATGGCTTCAGTTCTCCCGAGGTGTAATGATAGTTTGTTGTCTACTAACCATTTGCTGCAGGACTCCAGTTCCAGTGTTAATACATTAGCTATATCTTGTGGGTCTTTACCTGACACTAACAGAGCACTGTCATCTGCATACAGTAGGAGTTTGCACTTGACACTGATAGGCATGTCGTTAACATAGCATAGGAATAATAAAGGACCCAGGATACTACCTTGGGGAACTCCACATGCTATCGGCAGGGGTTCTGATTCCGTTTTGTTGATTTTGACAATTTGTCTCCTGTTGCTAAGGTAGGACTTAAACCAGTCTACAGAACCTATACCGATAGCTTGAAGTTTCTTACATAATATATTGTGGTTGACAGTATTGAAGGCCTTTTGCAGGTCTAAGGTTACCATACCTATGAGGTTCCCCACTGACATTTCAGTTCTCAAGTAATCCATCAGATTAATTAGGAAGGTGTCGGTTGAGTAAGATTTTCTAAAGCCTCATTGATAGCTATGGAGAATGTTGTTGTCATTAAGGTACTTAACTACTTGAGAGTACACCGCCCTCTCTAGAATTTTGGATATTATACTGAGTATACTAACAGGCCTATAGTTGCTTACATCAGACCTACTATTTTTCTTGAAGATAGGAGTAACTCTGGCCTCCTTGAACCCCTCCGGTACGGTATTAGTGGTGATGGACAAATTTATTATGTGCGCAATAGAGATTGAATGTTCATGAGCACCATCTTTTTGGAACTTAGACGGGATGTTATCCGGGCCAGTTCTCTTAGTTGGGTTTAACCTGCTTAGTTCTTTAAAATCATGAGTTACACTTACTAGTTGACAACTGTTTGGGGTTGCCCCTTTATTGGTATAGTATATTTGAAACTTATCAGAGTGTGTTAAAGGTATTTGATGCAGCTGGTAGTTTACTAACTAGTGTTGATGCAACAGATGTGTAGTAAGAATTAAAACAATTTGCCACCTTGGATGTTTCGTGGCATACCTCATTATCGATAGTGAGTACTATATTAGACCTATCTACACATATGCTGCTATGATAATTTACGTAACTGTATTTGTGTACCAATACTTGAATAAACTTGCTTACTAACGCTATATATAACAACTAACTCACATGGCTTTATATTTCAAACGTAAGCAGGGGCAGCTCTAAAAGTTTTGTATAAGAGGGGTTTAGGAGTGACAGTCTGGTTTGTAGAAGGGGACGACTTGAAACATTATATTATTATTATTATTATTATTATTATTATTATTATTATTATTATTATTATTATTATTATTATTATTATTATTATTATGATTGTGGCCTAATTCACGTCTGCATAAATAACTGATTAGGACTGTAGCAAGCTATAAACATGTAAATAGTAAGTTGTAACTTGTTTACTATCAAAACTTTGCGTTCCAGTCCCTGGCCGTATTATGTGCCTCTGTAATCTTGAGACTTCCACCCACAGGATGCGATGGGGTGCTTAATAAAGATATTGAACTAACAAACTTTACAGTTATTAACATCCACGCTCCCCATAACTCGACATTAACACGATAAACTTATACAAATAATTTTAACATTTTTAAAATGAAAATAACTTGATACCCTAAATAATTATTAATAATATTCATGGGGAATGGGAGGCAGTCAAGTTCGATCCAAGGAAGGAATTTTGCCTGAACGATTCATGCTGTTAGCAACTTCGGTTACCAATATCATCTACAGCAACGATTTCATGTAAAGCCTCGTGGTAACTTATTAGTCCTTTTTTTTAAAGCATCCCTTTCCACTTCATTGTTTCAAATACAGCGATTACAACCTATGTGGACCTTTGAAGTCATACACATTCGTGGAGTGACCTTTCTATTTGCTCCTCTTCCATTGTTCTGTATTTCGCAACACAGTAACGTTCATTGTCCCCCCCCCCCCGTCATCACTGCCCACTCTCGAAGCCATCCTCTTCCCTGTTCCAGGGAACTCTTTGAGACTGTAGCTGTATGACCCTTTTGGGTTTGGCACTTAATTTGCACACTTGACATACTGAGGGCGTACACTTGACACCTAGAGTACACACTTTGACACAGTATACGCTTGACACTACTCGGGATACCATTCTTCTCCCCATTAACACTTTCATTGACGAGTTATTACATATTTAGCTTACTTCTCACCTCTCAACTGCTTCTGCCATTTTACGTTTAGTTAAGTTTAGTTAATGTTTATTATGCACCCCATACCCATCCTGTGGGGGGGGGGGTAGTTTTACGAACCCTTTGAAAATGCCTTTCAGAAATACGTATGTACCTCGGCTGTCTCCAACGTAGACCATTTCCTCTGTCTTGATAAATACTATTATAAAAATAATTAGTATAACAGACCTGGGGAGCATAGTGGGAATAAATTATGCCCTTATGCGCAAAATACCTCTTAAGACAATCGCAAAAAAGCTATGCAGTGACTAATGTGAAAAATGGATAGATATAGCGTTTTCTCGAGCATTCATAAAAGTGAAGTGATATATATATTGAGAAAGCTATGGTGGTTCCACTTCCAGCAGTGTTCTCACTGGGTAAGCAGGTGTGGTGACTTCAGTGCCAACACTGCCACTGGGTAAGCAGGTGTGGTGACTTCAGTGCCAACACTGCCACTGGGTAAGCAGGTGTGGTGACTTCAGTGCCAACACT